GGAACAATTTTAACCAAAGTTGGTACAAAGCATCCTTGGGTGAAGGAGAGTTTTAATTCTTTAAATGAAGGGCCAAGTCCCCCTACAAGGGGAGATAATCAAGAACAGACAAAAAAGGGTGGGGTCACTAAAAAATTTTCTTCTCAAGAACGTCTGGACCAGAAAAGCTGAAACTTATGCGGAAGCATCTTGGGGGAGTGTAGATTCTAAATTTTTCAAATCATGGCCCCTTGGGGTAGGGCGGGACCACAATAGGGAATCCAATTTTTACATTGGAATATATAGGTAAAATCCTTAAAATCTTCTTCTCAATAACCACTGGGCCAGAAAAGCTGAAACTTATTTGGAATCATCCTGGGGAAGTGTAGATTCTAAATTGTTCACATTACATTAGGGGTAGGGTGGGGCCACAATATGTATTACAAGGGGGAAATCTTGTGAAGAACAGCAGGACCAGAGTTACTCAGGTGAGCGTTGTGGCCATTGGGCCTCTTGTTGACTTCTTCTCAAAAACCACTTGGTCAATTTCAACCAAACTTGCCACAAAGTATCCATGGGTAAAAGGGACTAAAATTTGTTCAAATGAAGGGCCACGCCTTCTTCCAAGGGCTGCAATTACAAATTAGTGAAAAATTAATGGAATCTTTAAAAAATCTTCTTCTCAAGAACCACTGGGCCAGGAAAGATGAAACTTCCTCATGTAGTGTAAATTCAAGTTTGTTCAAATCATGAACCCCGGGGGTAGGGCGGGCCGCAATGGACGATCAAAGTTTTACATAGGAATACATAGGAAAATTCTTTAAAAATGTTCTTCTCCATAACCACTGGGCCAGGAAAGATAAAATATATGTAGACACATCCTCAGGTAGTGTAGATTCAAGTTTATTCAAATCATGACCCCATGGGGAGGGGTAGGGCGGGGCCACAGTGAACTAACAAAGATTAACATAGGAATACATAGGGAAAATCTTCTCAAGAACAGCAAAGCCATGATTGTTCATATTTATATGGATGAATCCTTAGGTAGTGTAGATTCAAGTTTTTTCAAGTCATGACCCCCGGGTGTAGGGCGGGGCCACAATGAACGATCAAAGATTTACATAGGAATACATAGAAAAAATCTTTAAAAATTTCTTCTTAAGAACCATTAAGCCATGATTGGTCATATTTATAAGGAAGCATCCTCAGGTAGTGTAGATTCAAGTTTGTTCAAATTATTACCCCTGGGGGTATGGTGGGAAAATAGAAGATAAAACTTATAGGAAAAAAAATCTTTTAAGAAACTTCAAAAGCGATGATTTGTCAAAAAAAAATGTGTTAGCATCCTCAGTTATAGCATAGATTCAAGTTTATTCAAATCATGCACCCCTCCCCTTATGGACATGTTGAAACCACTCATAAAATATTGAACTCCTCGGGTGAGCGATGTGGCCCATGGGCCTCTTGTTCGAAAACCTTCTTTTCAAGAACAATAAAGCCACAATTAGACATTGATATGAAAGTATCCTTAGATGGTGTAGAATCAAATTTGTTCAAAATCATGACCCCAACATAGGATGGAGCCACAATTGGGAGTCAATGTTTTACATTGGAATATATAATGAAATGCTTTTAAAAATCTTCTTCTCAAGAACAACAAAGCTATGATTAGTTATATTGATATGGAAGCATCCTCAGATAGTGTAGATTCAAGTTTGTTCAAATCATGAGCCCCGGGGTAGGGTGGGGACACAATTGGAGGTCAATGTTTTACATCGGAATATATAAGAAAATACTTTTAAAAATCTTCTCAAGAACAACAATGCTGTGATTAGTCATAATGATATGGAATCATCCTCTGACGGTGTAGAATTAAATTTGTACAAATCATGACCCATGGGGGTAGGGTGGGGCCACAATAGGGGAAGAAGGTTTTACATAGGAATATATAGGAAAAATCTTTAAAAATCTTCCTCTCAAGAACAAGAAAGCCACAATTAGTTATATTGATATGGAAGCATTCTAAGGTAGTGTACATTCAAGTTTGTTCGAATTATTACCCCAGGGGGTAAGTTGGGGCCACAATGGGGGTGAAGTTTTAGTATAATATTTATATATGAATTTTTTTTAAAAAAATCTTCTTCCCAAGAACAACAAAGCCACGATTAGACATATTGATATGGAGGCATCCTCAGGTAGTTTGGTCATGACCAAGCAGGGGCACAATGGAGGATCAAAGTTTTACATAGGAATATATACATGATATATAATAGGGAAAATCTTGAAAAATCTCGAGAACAACAAAGCCACGGTTAGACATATTGATATGGAAGCATCCTCAGGTAGTGTAGAATCAGATTTGTTCAAATCATGACCCCCGGTGGTAGGGTGGGGCCACAATGGGGGATCAAAGTTTTACATAGGAATATATGAAATCTTTAAAAATCTTCTCAAGAACAAAACCATGATGAGTCATATTGATATGGAAGCATCCCTGAGGTATTGTTGATTCAAGTTTGTTCAAGTCATCTTCTGGTAGTATGGTGGGGCCATAACGGGGGATCAAAGCTTTACATATGAACGTATATAGGAAAAAAATCTTTAAAAATCTTCTTCTCATAAACAACAAAGCCATGATCATTCATATTGACAGCATCCTCACTGGCCAGGTAGTGTAGATTTAAGTTTTTCAAATCCCCCCCCCCCCATCCATGGTAGGGTGGCAGACATCATTAAAATTCTGTTTTCAAGAACATCAAAGCCATGATTAGTCATATGAATATGGAAGTATCCTCAGATAGTGTAGATTCAATTTCGTTCAAAATATGACCCCTTTGGGTGGGTGTGTCTAGAACAGACGATCAAAGCTTTACATATGAATATGTAGAAGAAATCTGTTGATGAAGAACAGCAGGGCCATATTTTGACTCAGGTGAGCAATGTGGCCCATGGGCCTCTTGTATATTTTCATTATTTTTATTCTCTGAATATATAAAATCTGCAGAATTTCTCTGTTTTGGATTACTAAGCGATAATACGTTTAATAAAATTATACATCTGGTACATTTTCCCGTTTATCAACTTGAAGTCAATTGCTTTTATGACAAGAAATTATTGTCTCTGAATTACAAGAAAAATTTTCTAATAAAGATAGTTAGGTGTATTTTTTTACTTGATAGTAATGGGCTTTTGTGTTTTTGTAACAATATGTCCTTGGTCATCTTGAAAGTAAATAATCTGTTCTTCATTGACATGAAAATAAATAATCTAGCTGATACGAAAAAATTGCCCCCCCCCCTCTCCACACCAAACTAAAACAAATGTCCGATTCGGAAAATGAGAGGGGAGTGGTTTAGGACAAGTCACTTCCTTAGTCAAATTTCCTCAAAGATCATTGCCTTTGAACTAGAAGATTATTGCGTTTTAACGCAAAATTATTGCGTTTAAACGCAAAAATTATTGCGTTTAATCGCAATAATCATTGCGTTTAAACGCAAAGGATTGCGTTAAATCGCAATGTATATTGCGTTTAAACGCAAAACACTTTGCGTTTAATCGCAAGAGATTGCGATTAAACGCAATCTTTTGCGTTTAAACGCAATAACTTTGCGATTCAACGCAATAGTTTTTGCGTTTAAACGCAATAATATTGCGATTAAACACAATACTTTTGTGATTAAACGCAATACATTTGCGATGAAATGCAATAATTTTGCGATTAAACGCAATAATTTTTGCGATTAAACGCAATAATTTTTGCGTTTAAACGCAATAATTTTGCGTTAAAACGCAATAATCTTTTAGTTCAAAGGCAATGATCTTTGTGTTTAAAGGCAGTCATATGTATCAAACCTGGACCCACGCATACTTATATCTTTTATTTCTTTCTCATTTTACTTATGAGGAAATTGCGTATTGTTTAGCTTTATAGAATCAGAGTTCTCCGATCAAACTCTCTCTGAAAGGATAAATCACTAATAAGAATTTATAGGGGAGAAAAAAAAATGTCGGGTTGTAAAAACAAAGGCAACCTAAGAACGAGACATGTCTTAAGCGAAAGTTTCGCGTTATAACGCGAAAATATATTTTTTTAACCATCGAAAATGAGCTCAATGGGTTTTCGTACGTTGTTTATTATACGTGATCAAATTATTATGATGATGATTATTATTATTTTTTTTTTTTTTGCTTAATTTTAACTTGTCGACCAACGGTCTTGAAAAATAAACAAACAACCGGTGAGAGCGCGGGAAGCCTAATGATGTACGATAATAAATGCATCATATTTCTAGAGCTAGATTGATTTATTTTCGGTCTGTATTAGGTTTAATCTTTGCGGCCATCAACAATCTATGATTGAAATAACTTTAAGCAGCTGTTAAGCAGTTCACAATCATGTACATTAATTTCGAAATAACACTATTTTACAGGCACGTAGCATCGGGTGGGGGTGGGGGGAGGGGGACTGCAAATGTTCATTGTAAGGCCGATTGTTTGGATGGCTTGGTTCGTTAAATATAACGCCGAGTTCATATGCACATGTTTATTCAATATGGCGCTAAGGTAAAACTACACATACACATTAGCTCATACAACAAAAGGTTACACATTGACTAGATAGTTTTACTAAACACCGATCCCCCACCCACCCACACAAATAATGGTAATGTAGAGTAGTTTGTGAATAAAATATAATGAAATTTTAAGTTCGGCACCGAAAAAAAGAAGTTGGAACCCCCCCCCCCCCCAAGAAATAGGATTTTCGAGTTTGGACAATACCCCTCCCCCCTTTTTTCAGGTAAGTTACATTTTTTCTCTCCCTCCCCCCCCCCCTTTTTCAAAAAAACGGTGCCATGTCCCTTGTCTCTGCAAAAAAAAAAAACTGCTGTTAGGGTACGCTTATAAATTGTTTATTCAAAGCGACCGAACAACAGCAATATAAACAGGTGGCTCGCCACAGTCTAAAAAAAATGTAGGAGATCGAATAATACAGTGACTGTCTTATCTAACTTCTATTTCCGGTTGAAACCAAAACGAGGATTTAAAAAAAAACTCGGAAAAGTGTGGATGTCGTATTTTCTATCTTTCAGTGAAAGCAACAATAAAACATCGTAGGGAACGGTGATTAATGATTATTTTGTTAGATCTTTTTAATTCATATATGTTTGCGAATTCTTATTTCATTTTGTTGCACGGGGGATTGCTTCATATATGGCAAGAATTTAGTGCTGACTTTCACCTATGTTCAATTGTAACCAGTAACACAGGTTACATAGCCTTTTCACTGGGGAGCATTTATTCAGTTTTTCTTTGGTTACACTGGTTACAAAGGTTACAGGGTTACACTGGTTACAGTGGTTACAAAGTGATTAGTTCTTATCTTCATTTGTAACCAGTAACACAGTTTCTGGTGAACAGGTCAGCATTTTTCATTTATTCAGTTATTAATTGGTTACACTGGCTACAATGGTTACAGTGTTTACATCTGTATCTACAAGTTCCCACTTGGATTTTATATGATTTGTCACCAAAAGAATATAGTTGTAACCAGTGTAACCTAAAAATAAAGACCCCTTTCAGTTTCAGATGATCTGTAACCATTGTAACCGATTGTCACCAAAGGAATATAGTTGTAACCAGTGTAACCTAAAAATAAAGACCCCTTTCAGTTTCAGATGATCTGTAACCATTGTAACCGATTGTCACCAAAGGAATATAGTTGTAACCAGTGTAACCTAAAAATAAAGATCCCTTTCAGTTTCAGATGATCTGTAACCATTGTAACCGATTGTCACCAAAGGAATATAGTTGTAACCAGTGTAACCTAAAAATAAAGATCCCTTTAGGTTTTAGATGATCTGTAACCATTGTAACCGATTGTCACCAAAGGAATATAGTTGTAACCAGTGTAACCTAAAAATAAAGACCCCTTTCAGTTTCAGATGATCTGTAACCATTGTAACCGATTGTCACCAAGGAATAAAGTTGTAACCAGTGTAACCTAAAAATAAAGACCCCTTTCGGTTTTAGATGATCTGTAACCATTGTAACCGATTATCACCAATGGAATATAGTTGTAACCAGTGTAACCTAAAAATTTTAAGACCCCTTTTGGATTTAAATGACCACCATCTTCAATTGAGAGATATATGTAACCTATGTTACTGGATTAAATAGTCTTGTAACAGGGTTACAATTGAACATAGGTGAAAGTCAGCACTAATTTCTTGCCATATCTAGATTGCTTCTTAGATGACAGGAGGTGCATGCGAATGCAGTTTATCAATAATGTTGTAGGAGATGGAGGCGTTCTATATTTTCATATATCATGTTAAGAAATGTCATATTTTGTAGAGTTCACTTTTGTCGGTGATTTATTGATTTTATAGTGCGTGGCTTGAGACCGTGGTTATGTAATTTACCCAGTCTCTAAACTAATTTTCAACCCAAACTCGACCATCTTCATTCATTGGTTGTACTTAGTCTTACTTAACACTGATTTTAATTTCAGTCAAAAAGAAAGAAGAAATGGATACTTGAAAATAGTTTTTTTGCAAAACAAGTAACTAATTTTTGACAACCATGGAAGAAGAGGAAAATGACTTGGTTTTCATGGAATTTTCTGTAGTAGATGAATGTGGCAGTGAAGAGGAGGAAGAAATTGATTCTCAACAAGATAGCATCCATGTCCTTGATGTAGAAGATTCAACTAAACCTTCAGTGAATAATGACTTGTTTGCAGACATGGTGGTTCTTGACATAAGTACAAGTCCAACAAAAGAATTAGAAGAAACAGATGAGAAATCTCGCACATTGCACAAATCTGATAGATCACATAGGTCAAAAGATTACAGAAGTCCTTATAGGGAGAGGTCCAGTGGGGAAAAGAGGGGTTCAACCAGAGAAAGGTCGAGAAGGGAGGATGAAAAAAGAAAAGATAGGAGAGACAGAAGTAGATCAAAGGAAAGTCGTTACAGGTTGAGTTCTGATAGGAGAAGACGCTCGAGAGAAAGAGATAAAAAAGTACAACACAGTTCTTCTGCTCGTAAGGAAACCCAAAAGACGTCAACAAAGCAGTCATCAAGAACTTCAGGAGGTCAGTCATCAACACCAAATGAGAAAAAAGATGCAATAAAAAGTCGTACATCCATACCGACTCCTACAGCCAAGACTAAACTAAATATCCCTGCAAAAGAAGTTAATACATCTGAAAAAAATAAAGAAATTAAGGAAAAATCAACAAATGAAAAGGTTTCTGTAAACAAAGAAGATACAGATGGTGAGAGTGAAGGTGAGGGAATAACAATCAGTGCTGATGATAACATTTTGAGGGGAATGGAGTCTTCAGATCTGAATAAATCTGACTTTGTCACATTGACGGTAGTGGATGAAGATCAAAAAGAAGACACAAAAACTGATTTTATTCCCAAAATAGAGACATCTGTAAAAAGTTCAAATCTGGATACAAAACAATTTGAAAAAGCAGATGCAAAACAAGAAGTTCCAGCTCAGAGTTCTATTCAGAAACAGGTGCCGAAAGCAATTGAAGGTGTTGAAAAAACCATGGAAAGGACCATAATGGGACAAGCCTTAAAAAAGCCTGTCCCTGAAAACGTTGCTATGAAGAAAGTATCTAGAAAAGATTCAGAGAAACCCATGCTTGAAAAGGTTACAGAGAATCCAAAATCTAAAGAGATTGAGATGGTGGTGGTTGAAAACATAGATAACATTGAGAAATCAGTACCTAAAACCAAGGCATCATCTACTCAAAGAAAGGAAGTTAATAAAGATCCAGACAAATTCAAAGTTACAGAGGAATTATTTACAGTAGAATCTGTCGACAAACCAAAGAGGGAAGTCAGTATTATTGGAGTAGATGATATAATTCTCCAAAAAGATGAAAAGAAACAAGGAGCAAAAAGTGAGAGGGAGAATAAAAAGGACTCGAGGGAACCAGAATTAGTCGAAGTGGCAGACATTCCTGAAAAGGGTGAAGTAAGTATAGTAGGCATAGAAGAAATCCACAACAAGAAAGATGCAGAAGAACAAGATTTGATTGAAGTTGCACCCATCTTTGACAAAAATGAAATAAATACAGAAGAAGCTCAAGATACATCAAATACTAAGACTGATTCTAAAACTAAAGATAGCAAAGAAGAGAAACTGTTTGAAGTTGTAGATGATAAAGAGGAAGAAATGGAAATTAGCATTATAGATGAATTAAATGTAGACTCTTCAAAAAACTCTGAGATAACAGAAGAAGCAGATGATGATGTAATTGAAGTGATCTTCAGCAATGGTGAAGATGAAGAGGAAATTCCAGTAAACTCCAAAACAGAATTTGACAATACTTTTATGGGAGGATATGTACAAAATGACAACTCTAAGACTTCATTGCAAAGCATGAAAACAGATACTGAGGAATTGGCTTTCTCAAAAGTGAAGCATCAAATAGAACATGAAAATAACAAACAAACAAAAGAAAATCCAACATGTGTATTGGGAAAAACATTTTCAAGTCAAGAATCTTCAGAGGGAGGAGGCAAGGATCTTTCAATATCAGAAAAGCCAGAGTTGTCAGATCAAGACTCTATAAAGGAAATTGAAAGCATTGGTGAACCTGAAAATGTGATTGAGGATGGGGTGGAGATTATTGTATTGTCAGACACTGATGTTGAGGACGACAATAATGTTGTTGAAATTGAAGACACAGTACCAAAACAAAATATTGATTCAAAGATGAAGATCTCTGAAGAGAGTTCAGAAAAACATAACAATGTTGGAATGGAAGTGGAAGGCTCCTCCAATCCAGCAGAAGACAGTCTAATAGAGGATGGCACAGAGATTATCATTGAGGATGAAATGTCAGAGGCCGAGGGACAAGATGATGATTTGGGTGAAATTGATGAAGATGCTTTCCTAGCAATGATGCAAAGTGAAGGTTTGGCCTTAGAGGATGAGGAGGAGGAAAATCAAGATGAAACACAGGAGGAAGAAGACCGGAAGAATGAGCAGGGGGATATTGGTAAAGATTCTGAACATTTGTTGATAACTGTTAGTCAGTCTTCAGAGAAAAGGAATGTTAAATCTAGTACAGATTCCCAAGAAAAATCAACAGTAAAGTCACCTATTGACAACATCTCATCAAATCTTGCTAAGATACGAAAAGAATTTGACAGTATCTCAAAGCAGTCATTGAGCAGCAAACATGCAGAAGAAAATGACAAATTTGCAAGGAGTTCTCGAGAGAGAAGTAAGGACAGAGGCTCGAGGAGTTCCAGAGAGAGAAGTAAAGATAGAGGCTCGAGGAGTTCCAGAGAAAGAAGCAAGGACAAGGACTTGCAGAAATCAAAGCACAGTGAGAAAGATCTGAGACAGGTCATTCTTAGCAAGAAATCCCAGAATTCCAGAGATCTAAGGGATGTGATCAAAGAGAAAAAGGCAAAAGAAAGTGAAGGCATTGAGGCAGAGGGAGACAAAGGAGAAGGTAAATCATATATTGTAGAGGTGCTTTGATTTTCTGTGCGCATTTTTACTTTCTTGAAACTACATCTTTTACATCATTACTTGTATTGAATTCTGTTCTTGAATTTAAAGTCATGGCATAAATGTCATACTAAATAGTGTTCTATTTTTCAAACACTGAAAAACAGTGAACACATGATTTTTGTATTTTATAGATCATTAGAGTTTGAATCATGTTTGTTTCATTGTAATTGTAGAGTTACCCCCTGAAGTGGATGAATATTGGGCAGATGAAGGTATTTGCTTTAAGACATAAATGCATATTTGTCAGATTAACATTAAGTCAGATTGTAGTCAGCATAAATCTATGAAGTCCAAGTGTGAAATTGTGGAATATGGTATCATTTATTAAGTTCAGACGATACGTTCCTCAAATATCTGTTTTGCATATCTTCGTATTGTGTGGAAAATATTCAAAATTTTCGTTACATTCTGATTTCTAGACTGGTTTCTAATTGTCTTTAAAAAATTGAAACACTAAAAATTGTGTTATTGGCTAATTAAGTTTTTTCCAAAAGGATTTTATAGGAAACAACATCCTCTGGTATCTTGCACAAATGCCTGGTAATGTACCTCAAACATGTTAAAGTAGTAATAATTCAGTGACAAAATCTTAGAAAAAATTATATATTATTGAGGAACGTATCGTCTGTCCTTAAGGGTACATTGTGGAATCTGGTTATCATTTGTTAAGGGTACATTGTGGAATCTGGTTATCATTTGTTAAGGGTACATTGTGGAATCTGGTATCATTTGTAAGGGTACATTGTGGAATCTGGTTATCATTTGTTAAGGGTACATTGTGGAATCTGGTAACATTTGTTAAGGGTACATTGTGGAATCTGGTTATCATTTGTTAAGGGTACATTGTGGAATCTGGTATCATTTGTAAGGGTACATTGTGGAATCTGGTTATCATTTGTTAAGGGTACATGTAAATGGAAAGTTTGCCATAAAGTTCTTAACATGCAATCAAACCCATTTTGATCTAGTCATTGCCATTGATGGAAACTTTGAGATCCATTTCAAGTACTGTCAGTTGCCAGGAATCCTATAGCCCTGAAATAAGAGGGGTATTTGAAAAGTTTCAATTATTGTGTATTTGTCCGAACTATTTAATGGAAATTTATCATTATACCCCCGCTCCAAAGGAGAGGGGGGTATACTGTTTTACCCTTGTGTGTCTGTCTGTCTGTCTGTGTGTCTGTCTGTCCGTAACAAATTTTGGTTGCAGTTTTCTCAGCAACTACTCATTGCAGATGCTTGAAAAACATTGTTATAACTGCAAAATGACAGACTTTATTGTGTGTTAACTCCATTCAAACTGGTATTAGTGTCTGTTGATGTCTACCGGTATTACATCCATGTAATATGCAAATGTTGACTTTGAACCTTTTTAATCTACATAATTACTGAACTTTCAGGATTAGGACATTGCAAACAAACTAAGTTTATGTCAAGAAATCTCTTTAATGATATTCTTAAACTACATTTATCAAAGAATTGTCAGAACTTGTCAAATGGCTGAAAGACAGGAAGTTGGAGGTCCATTTGGGGCTTCAAATGGGTCCACTTTAAAGCAAAACCAGTGATTGGATTTGTATTACCATGCATAAACAACTACTAACTTTGTTACATTACTTTCTGAAGGATTACAATTTCCTAAAAATGACAATATTCAGAGAGTCTTTAAATGCATCAAGCATGTTAAACTCTGCCTTATCAAGATTTTTTTTCCCCATCTGCATAAATGTTTGAGAAAAAGTCATAAAAAATTGCCTGAGAGCAGGAGAAAGAGGAGGTAAGAGAGGAATTTGACTTGTTGTTGTAGAGGAACTGGTGGAGGTAGACTCATTCTATGATGACTACACAGAGAAGAAAGTAGAAGTAGTGGTGGTGCAGAATGAGACATTGATACCCACAGAGAAAGAACACTGGGGGTTCGACACAGTAGGAGAAGGTAATGATGTGTAAAGGTGTTTTTATCAAAATGTAAGAGGTCTGATTTATAAGTTTCTACTACTTTGAAGGAAATAATGCATAATATACATTGTTATCCACTTCCATGCTGAATAAAAACTAAACTAAAATGGAATACTGTAAATGTACTTGGTACTTTTTTCCACGGGGTTATAATTGGATGGAATCTCAATTTCTGTTCAATTCATGGGTAGAAAATAACGCAAAGAGCTAAAGCCACGAACCATCAAATTTGGCCCTGTGTTTTTCACAAAAATAAAGTTTCGATTCAACAAGAGTACTATACATTAAATGTTAGAGGACAACATACTTGTTTTCCATACGTAACTTATTTTGTTAAATAATGCGCCATTAGGCACGTGCGATGGTTGGAACATGCGATGGTGTGATAAAAACGTTAAAAAATGCCGATTTTTCGACAGATTTTCCCAAAGTTAGATGTGGCCACAGTCAAGAACAACTTTTATACTTACCATAGATATAGATATTGCCGATACAAATCTTTATGCTTATTATCATTGTTGTTCGTGAGTGTGGCCAATATGAAATTTGATTTTATATTTAAATTTTGATGCATCAAATAATCACTAATTTGTGAATCAATCGTTAACATTTAATTCATACAACAATAAAAAATTATAAATTTCACAAAATATGCGAAAAAAGCAATTTATTTTCGTTTAAAACGCTTATTATGGGAAAAAAAAACACCTCAAAATAAACATTTTCTAAAATAAATTTCTGGCAAAACATGGTTTTTATTGTGAATACATGTAGGTCCATTATATATGACGTTACTAATAATACGTCAGTTGTGACGTCATAAAGGCTCTAAACTATTTGGAATGTTGCTGAAAAGTTTTTATGCTGTGGAATGCTGTCATTATTTGTATGATTTAAGCCCAACTGGATGATACCATCAAATCATTAATTATATTTATCAGAAATTCACGCCAAATTGTTTTCTTTACTGCCCTTATCACCCCCACCCCAACAATGCCTGCTTTTTTAAAGCTGTTATTAGACCTACAATTTTATATTTAAGCTTTTTTTAATTTATATATTTATTTTTATTTATTTATTTTTGATATTCTTTTGACAATTTTAATAATGTGCGTGATAACAGACATGACTCAAATTGTAAACAAGTTAAAAGAGAATGTAGCAAAGCTATCACGCTAAACCTCTGTAAAACAAACGAAATAATAAAAACATAGCTTGCTGTGCAAAGTGGAAATTAAAAAAAAAGAAACTAAAAAACGCATTTGGATAATCATCTATATTTCGGCTAGACAGAATCTAGGTCAAGGGGCGGGTTCATCAAGTGCAAGTGTTTTGACGAAAGCCGATATTGATACACACATGTACACGTATACTATAACTATATTCTTTTGTACGAGCATATATAAGCTATCGATATAATTACTGTTTTTTTTTTAAATTCTCTGAAATGATTCTTATGCATGTAACACAAAAGGATGAATTTCCATTTTGCTTCAAAAACATATTTATTTTTCAATATGTCTGCATTTAATAAATTCGAAGTGAGAATATTGATGATGCATGTGTACATATAACACATAAGTGATTTAGTCATCATTTGTGAAACATAACTCAGTTATACCCCAGTGAGCAAAAATGCATAAAAAAATATCAGAGTATGTCTTAGAAATCCAGTATAAAATGTTTATGAATCTTTTACTGTGCTCCAAATATTTTATTGTTGCTATCACAATATAAGTAATTTATGCTTCTGATCGTCAGATAGTTGGGGGTAGTGGTTTTAAATCTATTTAGACAAAATAAAGAATAGAAATAAATAAAATAAAGTACACTACATATAAATTACTCTTAAGTTTTTTTTATCTGCCACCATTTCTTCATTGCGACTGTAAGTATGCAGTTTTGTTTTATCTAAGAATTCAGCACCATGAAATCTCATAGAGAGAGAAAGAGAGAGAGAGAGATTACTCAAAATGTTTTTAAAACTCAAGACAATAAACCAAGAATATATTCTTTGAAACGTATGGGCGTAAGTTGTTTATAGCTGGTTATTTTATACCCAACGAAGTAAATTTTTTTTATAATACATGAAATAATAATATTTTTTAAATCTATTGTCAGCTTATTGTGGTATAGTACACTTGTACCTCCTTCCTCAGTAGTAATTAATTATTAGTATCATGATATGTAGAAAGGACTTTTTCAGGGGGGTAGATCCAAGACTTCCAGTTGAGGTTAAAAAAAGAAAAACTTGCAATTAATGTACATGTAATTATTTAAAGTTTAATCCCATAAGTTGTCTTGAATTTAAATTTCTTTATTGTTTATTAATAGAAATCAGTCTAGAAATTGAAAATTGCTTTATACTTTCCTACTCCTCTCATATTTTTCTCAGTGAGAAGGGGAGGGGTGCATGGTGCTGCGCCACCACTGTGTACAAAAAAATATTTCATAAAGAAAACTGAAAAGAAAATATAGGGACAGCTCTTATTGTTTCTGCGGGTATTACCTTTTTTAAGCAAGATTTTGTTGAATAAAATCAATCTTGCGCTGATTGCAGGACAATAAGACAAGGATAAATGAACACCCGTACATGTCTTTCACTTATGACTGTGACCCACATCATGGCCGTAGGAACCGGAGGGGGGGGGGGTGAGGGGCCGTGCCCCCCCCCCCATTATTTTGCCAATATATAAATTACTATAGTGAACATAGATACTATATGCTTGTGCCCCTCAATAAAAACGTCTGATGACCTTTTTTTTCTGCTTCTCATGAAATTTTTGGTCGTGCCTCCTCAACTGTCAACTGAAAATGTATGGCTGTGCCCCCCCCCCCCCCCAAACTGAATTTTCTTCCTACGGGCCTGCACATATCAGCAATATAAATACAGCTCTACTCTTTTTATAAACCACAAAAACCATTATGTGCAATGAAATCGAAAGTAGGAATTTTACACTATAGTTACCTATGCTAAAAACGAATATTTGCTCAAGTTTAATTATTTTGTACATTTACATAAAAAATAATCATATACTTTTCGCAGATTTCTATCTTTACAAATTCCTCGCAGTTAAGATATTTGGGAGAGAAATATTAGAATATTTTGCAAGAGAAGAGGGGGGGGGGGGGGGGTCTAGCAAATATCGATAAATTTATAATAATGAACAGGGCTGATTTATTTTCTGCTTTGGCCTTAAATTAGTGATTTTTAACAGGTTTATCTTTCTTAAGAATATTTTTTTGGAAATGTATTCCCTATTATTCCAAAGAAACTCACATTTAGGGCGACAATGAGTTCCGTTTACTTAATAAACCATTCTGATAAGTTGCGACACCCCTTTTCAATTAATCTATGTTTCTGTTTCGAAAACGACGTTCAAATTATTGTTACAAATGAATAAATGGATTAGAAACAAGTCCTTCCAACTTTTTACTTCCTCCCTTTTCCAAATCATTTAGAACTTTTATATGTTAAAATACTCGCAAGTTCAGGATCTAAGAATTTCGTATTAAAAGTCTATTTCCAGTTAAACAATTTTTTTTGCAATTACTTCTATCCAGTTATTGAATTACATTGTAGTTCTTCAGTTTAGAAACATTCGTTTTAAGATCATTTCAGGTATCTTGTTTTTTTTTCTGACTGCCCTCTTCCCCACTTTGAAAAACAAACTTCGTGCCTGGACGCGCATTCCAAAGATCAGCTAATATTTGCAGGCGTGTAGGAAAAAGTCAAGAAAACTAAGTTGGACAGGCTATCGTCATTTGAAGCAAGTCGTATGTTTTTTTTTAATGATGTTCAATACTCAATACTTACAAGTAATGCACAAAAATGTGTTCAAGGGATAGAAATACAACGTTCCTTCTTAAAAATTATATTAGCATAGGTACCAGGTGGAGTGAAAACTTTCCGAGACAGTAACACAGATTATTTTACTGTACATGTATCTATAAATTTCAATCAGTTATACACGCCGTTGCCATCAAGACTGCGATGTGAAATCAATTTCCAACTGTTATTAATTGTCTTAAATTAATTACGAAGTTTATTAGTAAGATAATAAATTTCTATCCCAATTAATACTAGTTTTAATTCAAAGTCACATATGTAAAATCGCTCAAGGTAATTTTTCCGACCTACGACGTTACATTTCAAAAAATGACGTTCTACTAGCATTTTTCTTTTAAAACACCGTCATACTTCAAACTCTCTTTTTCAAAAAATATAATCGACATCGAAAAAAGAAAAACGGCAAAGAAAAGCTAAAAGTCTACACTATCAATTGAAAGAACCCCGTTACTTTTTGAGACAGGGCCATTTTTGATGGTTCGTGGCTCTTGCTCTTTTGTGGATTGCCATTGTATGTCTAAAATGCACTTTGAGTTTGCTGTGATGAATTTTGTGACCGTGTACTTGGCACAAATTAGTCCCACACATCCCACGCAGAAAATTGTATGTCTACAGTATTGATAAATAAATCTCTTCCATATGACTGAGGAATGCGGAATTGCAAATTGTAGATTATTGACTGACATAACTAATGAAATGGAAAATTCAATTTTTGCAGTTATGAGAATACCAATGAAGATAAAGAATGTAGCATTTGAAGATCTGGGAAGTGAAAGTGCTGTTTTTATGTTGGAGGGTTTTGATGCTTTCTTTGTGGATCTTGATGATGGACAAGGGTAATGTTATAAGGATACATGTATTCCTAAAAATTTAAGCCAATTGGTATATATACAGGCACCCAGGTTGCTTGATTGTAATGACATATTGTGTAACTTTCCAGTCAAATCCATTTACTGTAAATCACTTTTTATTCGCGAGAACTTTATTTACTCGTAATTATGCGACAAGGTCTGCTGGCAAAATTTTCATTCTAGTGTACATTTGTTTTCTTAAAGATTATATGGAGCAATAACTAAAATTCTTGAAAATTAAATCTTGTCAATAAAGAGTAAATGACAATCCCCGTAGATAAAGTGTCACGAAAATTTGGTGATCTGCAATACTTTGTAGATCACCATCATCAAAAAACTTGCTTTTTGTGTCATGGCCTACCAAACTATGCACATTCAAACCAATGTAAAATGTAATGATATTTAAATTCCTCAGAAGATATGTCTATTCTTGGACTTTTGAGAATAAGATATCCTCTTGGCTGTACTGTGTACCAATTCTAAATATGGGGTTGCTGATAGGGGTAGATGAGCTAGTTCAGTTATAGATTGTAAATTTCATTCACGTGATGGTTGAACAGTGTTCTCCCTAAGAACCGGCTACCAGCCAAATTGACCACTTCAGTTGATAAAAATACCGCTTTGAAATAAAAAAAAATCAAAATTTAATTGTTGTAAGATCCACAGCGATTTGTCATAAACTTCAACCCAAGTCTGTTACAATTGATCTCTAACCCTTTACTTTGAAATAAAGGGAAAACACTGGTTGAATTTGCAGAATAGGGGGAAATATTATATACTTTGCTATAATTTCTCTATCACCTAAAAGTATTTTCCTTGAGCAGACTTCATTTGTCCGAGATCGGCATATGCCAAATTGTCCCGGTCATATGACCAGAGTAAAACTGCCAACTGGCAAATGAAGTAAACCGGCGAAAAACTAGAAATGTTTATTCTCAGTAATGATCAATTAATGTAGAGCTATCACTTTGCATTGCGGCCTAGTGGAAAAAAGTTGAATTTAAAATAAAATCATTAACCTCATGAAGATTTTTTTTTTACAAAATAACAGTAGATTTTAAAGATATGAGCCAGTGAACTTTTGTTTAATAAATGCAAACAATGAAAGAACACTCTGATTTGTTAAAAAGTATGAACAATTTAACAACTCCTTTTATCTTCCCCGCCATATCTCTGAAACCAGCTATTAAATTCCTGGCCAGTCGGTTCAAACCCGTGAGATCGGCATACATTGCAAACCTACCCTAACGAATTGAGGCATGAAGTCAGGTTACTGAAGGTCAGTTGGCTCATTCAGTGTGTGCTGGTTTGACAAATGAAGTCCTTCCCTCATTAAACAACTGTTGGCAGGCTAAAAAGCAGTACTTTCATAAATTATTTATCTGTGTAAACATGTCTGTCTTTGTAAAAATACATAAAAGAAAAGCTAAAATAAAATAAATTAGTGTTTGATAAGACACACTTTGGTGTCCAAAAATGTTATAAAATATTTTGTTTGAACTTTAAGAACAACAAAATAAATATGATTTCATAGGTTTCCTCTTTTACTGCCTTATAGTAAGTCCTTGATGTTTATGAATAGAATGGTAAAGAATGCCTTCGTTTTCTGAATTTACAGTGTTCTGTACATTGACAACTCGGAGCTGAAAACTATGCGTCCTTTCATCATGATTGGAAGAATTGCCAGGTTTCTAAAGGACCACCCTCATGTTGATGTGGAATGTGAGAGAGCCATTTCCTTCCTTCTGGGTATGTTGACTGTACTGTAGTATTGTATTTCTCTGTGGATCCATTTTCATTGATTGTTGGCCATTTTGTCCATTAAATACATGTAAATATCTTTTTTCTTCACATGATGAATAAAACAATTACATGTACATATGTAGTATTATATAAATAGTTACACGTTTTTGAGGGTAACAGTTGAAATTGACACCCCAAGGAAAGTCATTGTCAACCGACGCGTCAGCGGAGGTTGACAATGGTTTTCCGAGGGGTGTCAATTTCAACTGTTACCCTCAAAAACGTGCACTATTTATTTTATTATACTGAATGTCTTTTTGATTTCGGATGTCATAAAAAAATTCGGAGATCTTCGTTAAGGTCACGCTTAGAAAGCTTTCAAACTCCCCGCTTCTATTTTTCTCAATAAGAAAGCTTCGGAAAAGATTTACCAACCTCTTTATTGTTTGTTTGCTACTCAAAAAGTCCTTTATCATCTAAAGTTTGTACTCGCAAGGATGTTTCGTCTGTCGTTTGTTGTTTTCAAGTAAGCTACATCGGACGCAAGCTTATATTGACGTCGTTTATTCGGCTTCTTTCAAACGCACAACCGACGTTTTGAGAATTCTACGGTGAACCGTACGTGCATGATTTGAACGCATGTGATATTTTCGTAATGTTACCCGTTGTCAAGTGTGTTGCTAACGCAGAGGGTAACATTACGGATTGTTAAATGCGTCTAAACCAATCAGATTTTAGTATTTAACATGAAAGTATAATAAAAGGAAATATACAAGTCCAGTACCTTTGAAGATGATACCTTGATTTTTATCTATTCTTATTTTCCAGAGGAAAAGCTGAAGACAGTTGGCATTAAGAAAAAAAGTATGTATCTATGCATTCCTTTTGATCTTGTCTTCATTTCAATCATTCTATATTGTTAGAATCCAATTAACAGAAGAATTTAACCAACTCTGGTTTTCAAAGAATATTTATATGTATATGTAGTTCATACTTTTATTTATCTACTAATTCTTATGTTTTAGTCTACTAATTCTTTCATTTATATTCATTTGTTGGTCATTATTTTCAACAGTGTTGATTTTTTCCTGATATTGTTGTAGCTGAATCATATTTGAGTCAATGGAGTCTTCAATGTGTAAAAATATATATGAATCATGGTGATATCCATAGATTACTTTGTTCAATGAATAAATATTGACATGTTTATATTTTTTTTTGAATGAGTACATACATGTATGAAAATTTGGTATAATTTTTATTATATTGGAATTCAGGTCAACTGTATGAGAACAATTATACCACCCCAAAAAATTGAAAATTATTGTATGCCATTCAGTTCAAGACTGGTGCTCTCTGTTATTTGGTGTAGTCAAATTGATTGTTTCATTTTAACATTCTTATTTACCTGTAAATGTACAACTAATATTATATAAAATCACCTTGCTTTATGCCTTATTTAAAACCATTTTATGCTCCCCAAACTTTTAAAAAATTTTAGGTAACCACATCAGAAAGATGACGTTTAATTTCTGATATAAATACTTGAAGGGAATATGACATATTTAGTGCCAATGATAAAATTATGCAGTGATATATGATAATCGTAATGATGCCATGACAAGTAAGTATGCTGCTGCTGTCGTGTTGGGTAGTGAGTTTATATTTGGCCATAAAGAGGCTAATTTCTCATTAGACTAAATGAAATTGTATCCTGTCACTCATCTACACTATTGAAAAGTTTCCACCTATCATTATGATGTCATAAGCACATGTTTGCTTGACATATATTGAAAATGACATTTGGAGACACCCTGGCAAAAATTATCCAGACTGGATTTTTATTTAACATTTGTTTTGTGTGAGTGTGTTTTTAACAAAGATAAAGCATGGAAAGCATTTCTTTTGTCAGGAAGTAAATAGGCTTAGTGACTGCGCCCAAAGTTTAGGTTAATGTTTTCAAAGTACCAGTAATCCACTCCTAGAACTACATGTACCTGGTCCAGTAGTCAGAGAAGTGAGAAGACAGCCCCCACTTGATGGGCCTTGTGTTTGAAGAGAAGAAGAGCTTTGACATTTTCTTGTGTTTTGATCTTGCACATACCCCATCAGTTTCTTGCAGATGAATTTGGAAGTCCTGTTTGTAAATCTGATAAACATAGTGGTTTTCCTTTGAGGCAGACACCTTGTGCTGCAGAAGAACAAATTTGTTCCTAATACAGAAGAATACAGAGGAGGCAAAATTTAAACCTGCTGAGCATGTTAATTTTTTGTCTTTAAAGAGTATTTTTTACTTGCATGTGTTTCTTATTCCATATTTAGCATAATTTTCAATTTAATCTGTAACAATCCAAAAGCGGTTGCAAAAATCATTGATTGTACATGTATGTGCCATTGTATGAGAGGAGTTGAATGCTGTATTGAATGAAAGAGAAAGTTCAGAATAAGATATGTAGATCATTCATGCATCAGTCAGATATTTCTGGTGAAAAATTCAATACTTTATTACATGTACATGGTTGAAGCGAAATGCATGATACACTATAAGACACTATTGAAACCCGTAAAACATGGAACTATTTCAAATGGTGGTATCATCACTGGGTCCTCTATCCTTCAATGGGTGATTAAGCAATGCCTACTACTGGTACATGCTTCCAAAGAGAGACTGACATTGTTCCTGTCTCAGCTGAACATCATTTGATAGCCCTGATGTGTGATTCCTGGCTATCATGATGTATATAATCAGTCTACAAAAAGCTTCTGAAAAATAATACTTTGTATGCTAATTATTTTTTTTTATTATATGTAAACTGTGCAGTTGTAAGGCACATGGATGCTCTCTTCACATTCCAAACCTGCTGAGGTGTTTAAATCTGTGTTCTCACTACTTTGGAAGTTTCTCTACAAGGAGTAGCCTCTGAATCAACTGCTTCAGATTGTCACTGGCTGCCAGCAATATCCCAAGGAAAAAACAAAGGTCCTTCATGGCTTAACAGTGGATAGACCTCAACTGTTCAAATTATTAGGCTCCTGCTTGAGAGATTCAGATATGGAACCCAAAGGACATCACAGATAATGCAAACATTAGGTTTGTTAGTGTCTGTCTACAGAAATATATCGGGTTCATCAAACTCATAGATGGCTAGGCGAAGCCCCCTGCAACACAAATAAAAGAAGAGTAATTAACCATGCCATTATTTAAAGAAGGACCAAATAGGCCTAAGGACAAAGAGTGCTATAGCAAACCATAGCTTTCTGGAGTTACCTCTTTCACCTATGCCTAAGTGGCTATTCTACATAAACTTTTGTTCAGGGCCATTATGAAGCATTGGATCAGGACTGATAAGCAGAGTACCACCAAGTAGGAGATAGTAAAGTTGTGAAACCAGATCTGTAAAGCAACTCTACTCTTGCAATGGCAAACTGTGTTGGAGTAGCAGAGTGTGGACAAATCTATGATGATGAGGTGCTTTGTGTTTGTGTACACATACACCATCACCAGGTACAAACCATTTCAGTCAGAAATACAGCATAAAGCACCTCATCTCAGTGCAAGAGCCATTCCAAAACATATTTTAAGATCAACCATCATTAATGTTGGCTTAGTCTACGCAAAACCTTGAAGCATTTACCAAAATCACTTTGAATTCGATTTTTTCCCCTCATGGACTCCAGCCAAAACAAATCCATAGACCGCTTAAAATCAGTGCTCCCTTATCACATGATTTAGGTGAAATTTTCTGAATGGTTATATTTACAGTTGAACAATATATCAGACATCTAATTAAATATCTTGAAAATCATGGATAAATCAAAGCAAGTTGGAAGTTCCAGTCACCTTTTGTTAGGTATTTTAACCCAGACAAATCTCAAGAAATCGTCAGATATCTTGAAGTTTTATCTCAACCCCATGAAGTTCGAGATGACAAGGTTTGACTGTATATGTAGTATGGGGTATATATCCTCGAACAATCTTACATGTACAGTTATCCTGGCAACTGCAACCTGACAACACAATGCTAGAAATTGTGAAAAATGAAAGAAAAAGAGCATGAAGAACAAAGAGAAATAATTTATACTCATTTACCAGAAGATTGCAAGAAGGTTACCACGGGTTGACAGGATAGAGACAAAGGCAGGAACAGTTGGGTAACCAAAATTGAGAATTCAAAAAGTGGAAAGATGAACCATAAGTATGGAATGCCATTACCTGACCGCATAAGCTGATGATTTAACATGAATCGGAGAGAAGTACACCTGTGATAAAAAGAGCATAATCATCTGGTAAAATTGTTTTAAAACAACTTCCATAGTGAGTTTATTTCTTGATGAATTTTTATGGAACATCCTATACTTTTTTTCTATTGGGGGGGGGGGGGGATGGAGGTATTTCCAGTCAAACTTTGTATCAACAGTAGATTTTGATTTCATTTAGCTTGCAATTACACCTGAGTATTGCATGGAAGCCAAAATATTGAGAATACAAAAGCTGGGAGCATTTCATTCCCAATTGAGTCCCCTCTTTGGAAATATTTACCAACTCATTCCAGAATCTCCAACTCACGTCAAAGCAGAAAACCCAGGCTGTATTATAAAGAAGTCGGATAACTCCAAAGATTTGATTTCTATCGACTAATAAAATACAAAAGACTGTAAAAATCAAATTTTTGTGGATAGCACTGTTCCAAAGGACAAAGCTCTAAGTTGACCTTAAGGATGGATTCTTGTCAGCATTTTACGTCGTCAATGGGTCTCCATAAATTATGCAAGTCGTAAAATGCAAAATTCATATTTAATTATACTGAAGGAAAAACTATTAATTAATTTGTCAGTTTAAGTAATGTTGAATCTATTTCTTTTGAAATTAATAAATTTTTCGTATTATTTTCTTTGATTTGCGACAATCGCCATAATATTCGCAGTTCGGTAGCGAATGTCAACATGTCCAGATCATTTTCCGTAGAAAACCCCGAGAGGGTTGTTTTACAAACTGTGAACATTATCGAAGCATTGCAGAAGCCCAGGTACAGTTATGACAAATTAAATCATAGTTATTTATGCCCGGAGCATTCCGATCAACCAAAAGGGAAGCTTGAACTTGTAGGTCACAAACATGTGCAACAGCTGTGCAAGATTGCAGATCCACGTTGCCTCGTCTGATGTCATGTCGTGTGCAGTGAGCATGTAAGTTAGTTATATATGTCTGAAGATTTTTATAATTTTGAAATTGAATTCAATTGCATGCTGGTTTGTATTGATTTATGGGAATTCGCACGGAAATTATAGATGTTATCAATATTTCGTCTGCTTATTCCCGTGACTTGTCAACATTTGAAGAGGATATATTTCGTGTGTTCGTCAGGGTTATGAATAATAATTCACAAAAATAACATTTTTTATATATGATTACAACAAATTTTATATTTTTAACTAGCCTACTTCAAGACACAACAATCATCAAGTTATTAGAAAAGTAAGGTGTTCCGCTTCGGTACAAAAACTTGATATATTGTATGTGGAAATATCAATAATATTGAAACACACAATTGTCTAATAAATAGAGCAAAATGAAACATTATTGTTAAAAAACTATTTATATTATTGGTTTTTTTCTTACTTTTCTGTACTTTTAGGATAAAAAATGTCTATTTATTTATATCCAATACACTATAATATAAGACATGTGGTAGAATCTATTAAAATATATTCATTCATTTAAATCAATAAATGAAATACAGATGAGATAAGTTGTTTAATCTTATAATTAATTTCCATTAATTTAAAAAAATAGTCTAAGGGATGTTCATGTCTAATTCTTAGGAGAAAAACAACCCTACTTTACCCTAGACTAGAAAAAAGACTGGAGGTCAGAATGCAGGATGATTGAGCATGGAGTGCTGGCAGATGGACTATTGAGGTACATGTATAAGAAATATGGACACAACTTTATCTAATTATCAAGTAATGCAGCATCTGTGCTGCTATGTAAAATATTTTACTTTTTTTTAAATTATAGGTCAACAAAAAATTTGGACTTTCACCAGGTGGACACATGTTCAGCAAGAAATTCTCACATCAAATGAATGATGGCTGTCTGTGGAAAAGAGATTTTCTCAGAATATATCATGTCAGAAGCAGGAATTACATATTCATCTGATCAAAGAAATGTTTTTGTAGAAATGTGGAAGTCAATGCATGTTATCAAAGTCACTGCTGCTTGTTGCATGATTCCATTCTTTTTTTTCAGAAACTTTCAGTCAAAAATAGTTTTATTCATAATTATATAATGTTAAATTATTTGATTCCCAAGTACCCAATACAGTGCACGCTTTGTAGAATGTGATTACTTTACAAAATCTTTGATTCAGATTTGAAATCCTACTCCCAGAGTGAATTTTTCAAGCATTATCTTTCATTAGATTACAATGTGAAGATTTACATGTACTGGCATTACAACAACTTGTAAATGATATATACCTAGCTCTATGTATTCAGTTGCTTTACATTTTCAAATACAGTTAAAATCTTAAAATACAGTTCTGGAATGCATAAAAATGTGCCTGCTTTAGATCATTTAGTTAAAGGGTGATTTTAAGCAAGAGCATGCCAAACAAAATTGCTGGTAGTGGCCGGGTTAAAATTTAGATTTTTACAAATGAACTACATATACAAGTACTTGCAGTAGAAACCCTCAAGAGGTAATTTTTAATTCAATTTCAATACAAGTTATTGACTCTGATCAATAAATGTTTGTGCTACAAATTCTCAAAAAGAAATTTCATCCTTGAATAAGTATTTTGAATCTAAATGTGAAATTAAGTTTGATAGCTGCATGCATATTATTGTTACAAAGTTCAAGGATGTCATTTTCAGGCAAAGATGTCAAAGGGCATTTGATTGTCATAGATGGCTTTTTTGTTATCTTAAAACTCCAGCAAATTTTACGCAATATATGATCACATTGAGGAGTTATATTTATTGGTGCTGAACAAACTATATACTTATAAATGTGTGTAGGTATTTATTGTGCCTCGCTTTCGCGAAAGAGAGGGGACATTAAATCTCATTCGTCTGTTAGTCTGTCTGTCACAAAAACTTTAACCTTGGCCATAACTTTTGAGTGAGAAGAGATTGGGCTTTTGTATTTCACATGTACATTACCTGTAACAAGACCTTTCCAAATATACTGTGAATTTTGACCCCATGGCCTTGAAGTTTGACCTACTTTTCAAAAAAATTAAGATTACCTTAAATTGGTCATAACTTTTAAATGAGAAAAGATAGGACTTTCATATTATGCCTGTTCATTACCTGTGACAAGACCTTTCAAAATTATACTATGACTTTTGACCCCATGACCTTGACCTTGAAGTTTGACCTACTTTTCAAAAAATTAACATTTCTTTAATTTGGTCATTAAATTTAAATGAGAAAAGATAGGGCTTTCATATTAAATATGAACATTACCTGTAAGAATACCTTTCCAAATGTACTATGATTTTTGACCCCATGACCATTACCTTGAAGTTTGATCTACTTTTCAAAATTTTTATCTTTGCTTATAACTTTTGATTTAGAATAGTTAGGGCTTTCATATTTGACATGTGCATTAGTAGTGACAAAGTGTTTCCGAGCATGCTATAATTTTTGACCCCTTTACCTTGACTTTCATGTTTGACCTAAATTTCAAAAAAAATTATATTTGGTGATTACTTTTGAATGACATATGATAGGGTGTTCTTATTTGACAAGTGCATTACCTGTGTCAAAATGTTTCTGAATATGCTATGATATTTGACCCCATGACCTTGACCTTCCAGTTTGACCTAATTTTCAGACATTTCATCAGTTTGCTAACTTTTGAAGGAGCAAAGATAAGGCATTCATATTTGACAAGTGCATTACCTGTGACAAGCATTTCCAGATGTACTATGATTTTTAATCCCATGACCTTGACCTTGAAGTTTGACCTAATTTTTAAAAAGTTTATCATTGCTAATAACGTTTGATTGAGAGAAGATATGGTATTTACATTTGACATGTGCATTACCTGTTTCAAGACCTTTCTGATTGTATACTCTGGTTCCTGATATTTTTTTTTACATGTGCATCACTTGTGAGAAGATCTTTTGGATTTTATTATGATATTTGACCTCATGACCTTGATCTTGAAGTTTGATGTAGTTTTGAGAAGCTATAGTCTTTGCCATAGCTGTTATTAATTCAGTAATTTATGTCTTTTTGTATGATGCACAGATAAGACAGGACAAACAAACAAGACAGTTACAATATGCCATAAATAATGGCATCCCGTCCACTAAGACATTGAAAGTGGGGGACCACAATTCTTTGAATTTGCTCATTGTTTTCAAAACTCAGTCTACAAATGTAAAATATCCAATAATAACATAATACTAGGGACCTATATGTATATAACTACATATACATGTATAGGCATGTATATTAGTCCATCTGATATTCATATATTAAGCATTGAATGGCATGTTCACTATACATGTATACTGATTTCATGTTTATGTCATAAATAATGTATTGAAATCTTTTCTAGTCTGTGAAAATTTTTTGTATGATTTTTCTCATAACTTTTTGGAAGGTTTATTATTTATTCCTGGTTATATTGAAGGTTAAGTTGCTTTGAATTAGTCCTGTGCATGTGAAGAATGTATGTGATAATTTTTCTGTAATTGCCACCAGAAAATTGATGTATTTTATAAAATTGTCAAACATAACATTCATAAGAATAAAATGACAGAGGAAATTCGAAATGAATATTTTGAATATTATTAGTGTAAATTACCATAAAAAAAGAATGTATAACTGGTAGAAATGAATGTATTTATGTCACAATTACACCAAATTGATATATTTTTGGGGATTAAAAATCTTTCTTATAGACATTAAAAACACTCTGTAAATTGAAGATTTCAGAAAGTGTAGAGCAAATTCGGGCTAATTTTTTTCGATAATTTGCCTGATTACTATATCCTTTTTACCTTGTAAATTAATCTTGAACCTTTGAATATTCATCAGACAAAAATCTAAATATTTGACATTATATGGTCAATTGTAAAAATTGAGATGAAATTTCATGTGAATTCATGAAAACTGAGAATTTTGAAAAAATATCGAGGAAATTCGGATTAAATGTATTTATTGAATATAAAGGATTTCACGTTATCTTTTCACCAGCTCATTTCATATGAATTGGTCATCAAAAATTAGTAACAACTTTAATTTTATGGTGAAAGATATTTTTTCATTCAGCAAAATTTATTCATATGCATAAATTTCAAAACTTCTCTGTGTAAAAGTACTATTTTTAGGACTGACTTTCAAATGACCTTGACTGAAAATCAAGGCCGATGACACCAAAGTTTTTGGATGTTAAAATAGTGTAAACAGTCTGAATATTGAGTATTCAGAAAATCAAGATTCTGCCATTATAAGAAATATGAGAAGAATCCATCCTTAACAGGTTTTTTAGTGAAATTTTGCAGTAGATTTGGAAAGAATAAATAAATTCCTCATAAATTCCTGTGTTGTGATCTAAAAGTTGCCAGTATTGAAGTAAAGACTAAATAACTGTGAGCTTAACAATGTGATGGACCAGACCAGGATTTTAACCTGGGATTCCTGAATTCTTAGACAGGTGCCCACCCAGATGAGCCATCTGGTCATTGGCGAGCCAATCTTCAAGACTTCCACAGAAGTAAGAAAAACCCATGATCACAAAGATTGCTCACATCAAAGGAACACCTCAGTGCACAGTTGGCTCCTATGGCAACCGTCTTCCCATGATCTAACTTTTTAACTTGCAATTGAAGAGAGTTTAATATCCATTGAAAACAAGGTTGCATGGTTGCTGATGTAAGAAGATATTCAATACTTTATGAAGATTACTATCATATAGATGCAAGAGATGTGATGCAGTGAATTTTCTGTTAGCCATTGGATATTAAGCTGTGGAGAGACATTTACCATTAGGGAGAATGCAAGTAAACAGACCCTTCCTCATCCAAAGACACAATAGAAATATTGAGGGAAACAACAGATATATTTCAAACATCTTGCCTTAGGATGACAGTTTGACACTTGCATTAAACCACAAACCTAATAATTAAGGAAGACAATGGTTGACAGTAAATCATGTGACACAGTTTAAAGAAGTTTCAAATGAGATTTTATGAAGAGGTGCCTGAACACTATGTAAATGTGTTTATTGCTTGGAGAAGGATTTTACTTAATTAGTTCCCAAGATGCTTATATTTTTTTTTTAATTTACTGTCATTGTATGCTCATTATTGCACTCAAGTTTTTTGATTTATTAAGGTCATGTGAGTGAGGTAGATTTTGGATACTGTTGGAAGGATGACTTTTGGACCCACAAGTGCTGATTTTTTTTTTTTTTTTTTTTTGGTTATATGCCAGAGGATGATTCTAGACTAATCAATATAGATATAAAACATATTATGATTTTCTATGACTTTTATGTTCTGTAATACCAAGATGTGTGAAAATTTATTACATAGAAACACAATTATTTTTCAGATCAAATTCCTAAGAGAGGTTTGCTGTATATCCGTGGGGTTCCGAACCATGTATCCGAGGAAAAACTAGCAAAATCTCTCAAAGCCATTGAGGCTATAATACCTAAAAATCTCATGGATAAACGAATAGGGTAAGTTTATCAGATAATGGAGAAGATTGCTGGCTTCAGGACATTTCTAATGGTAAGTAAATCAGGAACTACAAGAAATGGGGTCATTGGAGAGTTTACTTGGCCAGAAAGAGAATATCTGCCTGGTTCTGGTGGACCAATGCAGATGATTGAGATCCATAAAAAGAGCATACCTTAATCATCATACAGAGAGTCCTTTTAACCATTACCATGACCTTGAGAGCTGATGGGATTCTGGGGTCTTCACCTGCCAGAAGTGCTATGATAAAAAGATTGCAAGAAGGTCAACCAGCCTGCCGTTCTTCAAAATGAATAAATTTACCTTGTTAGAATCTCTTTGCATAATATTCAAAATGACTTTTTCATACACAGCATGCATGCATTGATAGCCACTTGTATATGTTGTGTCTGGCCCTTCTGTCTGTCAGTATTTTATATTTTATTTGATACGACAGCTTTAAATGAATTGAATATTTCATCACATTTAGAAGGGCTTTTTTGAAAAAATATCCTTGGAACTTAAAAACTTAATAGTGTAGAATTTACGGTAATTTCCAGGAAAGAAAAAACAGAGTACTGTGTATTTTGTTCATCATCTCAAGAAATTTGTAGTATAATAATTGGTTTATCTTAAATGAAACCTTATAATGTTTCCTTTGCACCCATTTAAGTGACAAAATGGGAAAGGACAAAATGTAGCAGACCATTACTGAATTCAGATATAGGCCCCATAAACAATGGAACAATTTAGTTCTTTGGGAACATAAAAAAAAAATGGCATCTGCCTGACAGTGTGTCATTTCTCCATGTTTATGAACACTGTGAAAATGAATGTCCTGGATCTCTTCCCTTTTCTTGCATGCTAACCAAATTCAATTGGATTGAACAAAACATGACATAGTACAGAGATTTGAACCTTGACTGAGATGTTTACCAAATGTACCACCAGAAAGACAGGAAGCAGATATATCCAGACGAGTCTAACCCAGGCCATATGGACTCGAGATGTGCACTACCAAGTGAGCTATGTGGGCTCAAGTGAACAAACTTGCCTCACCACCACATTCCTCCCTCCTTTGTAGCCACCAACACAAGGTCATCCTGTCAATTCCCAGAGTCCTTGTCTCAGCACCAAAAATATCCAAAAGTAATAGAAGGTTGGAAATGCTATGAACTTGACCAGGGTTCAACTGAGTGAACTCCAAACAGGTATATACTACCAGATAGGCTATATGGGCATCACTGATGAACCTGTGTGACCAAAGATCTATCTGAACCACCAGAGATTAAATCATTCATGTTATATATTGCTGTTGCCTTATTTGTCCAAATTCCAATCCAAAAGTTACCGTATATGGAAATTTGATTATTCTCATCACATCTTCATCATACAGACATTTGGAATTACAAATATAACAGGTTATTGAACTTTTGGACCATGAATTGAGTGAGTTTTGGAATGTTGAGGTATGAAAAAAAAACTTCCATCTTACATTTAGTAGACAGCATCGATAATTTGGTTTTGGAGATAGCTTTTATGAATTACATGTACCAACACATCTTAGTAACCCTTACAATGTGCATATATACTCCGCATACCCTCCTGTAGAATTCACTTTTATTATTAGCAAATTCGTTCATTTGAACTTCCTCATTGCCAACATTTGTTGCATAAAGTATACCATTTAAACAATTCAGAATCCGGTTATTTTAGGAAAGTATTCCCTTATTTGGAACAGAATTTTATTAAAAAGAGTAATGATGAATACAATGTACTTGTTCACTTTCATTCTTATTACCAATATCATAAGAATGAATTTTGAAGCTTCAAACTTCACGTTTAGTCATAAAAGTAAGAAAAATGTTCAGGCGGATGAAACTTTTCTGGAAAAAACTGCAAATTTTAAAACAGGCTTCTGATTTTGTTTATGATTTGTAAACATTACATAGGGTTCTATCATGTGCAGTCAAGTTTAAACAAAACCATACTTCAAAAAGTAACATGAATCAAATAGATGTAACAATATTCACTGTTAATACCATCATGAGTAAACAACCTATGATGTCACCTACAGTAAGATTGTGAGCAATAGGAATGCTACAAGCATTAAAAGATGGGCATGTGCAAAGCACAATATCTAAACTTATGACAAGATACAGACAGCAGTTCAGTAAATGACAGATCCAGGTCAGGACTCCCAAAAAAGACAAGAAAAACTCGTTTGTAATTTTGCCCTTAAGATGTAGAGTACTCAGCAGTATGCTCCAGAGTAAGATGAGAAATGGAACAGGATTAATTGTCTGTGACCAAACAGTAAGGAAATGTTTGCATGTTAGTGATCTGCATTCTAACTAGGCGACCAGTGAGGGAACTTCTTGCCCAACATGACATGGAACCAAGCCAACGAGACCCCTGTATGCTTTCTTTGTGGTGGAATGATGACCTAAATGACTGAGTACATGTAAACCACTGTCCTGGAGAAGGTTTTCTAGATGCTTTGGTCAGAGAGCATGATTGCAGTGGCAGGGGGCTATGCAAAGTTGTGTGGCAGAATTTCTGCAAATAGAACTCAACTTTATGTGATTTTCAAAACAGAAATTTGACTTCCCAACAGTGTGTGGATGAAGTTATGAGCACATTGTTCTTTCCTTCCTTCCAAGACTTTGAGGAAACACTAAAGGCTGGTAAATTCCCTGATCTACACCCTATTGAACATATCTGGGGTGAACCTGAAAGACTGTACAAAATCATCCCCCAAATCACCATTATCTGTACTTTGAGATCTTGTTCAAGAGTGGAATAAAATTCCTCAATCTACCATTGGAACATGTTCAAAGCACTATGTAGTGATGTAATCAGGCACAGATCCAGGATTTTGTGTTAGAGGGGGCACTATTCAGGTTCAATGGAGTCCCTAAAGCTAGCGGTTAAGAACTGTCCAATATGAGCCTGTGGGTGAACCCCGTGTAAGCTCATGAGAATCAGTGGTTAGAAACATGTTTTTTGGCTCAAAAACAACTGTAATTTTACCTGTTTTGCATCACTGAATGACATTGAAAACTATATCTAATACGTTTTGGGTTGTTTTAGAGGAGGCATGCACCTTGAGCGCCCCTGACTGGAGCCCCCCCCCCACCTGAATCTGTACCTGGTAATGCACATTGGGATATATGCGCTACTAAAGTGACATGTCATTGTTATTGCGCTATGCTACTTTTAAAATTTACCCTTTGTGCATTTGACTCAATGTTGATGTAAAAAGGTGCTTTTGATTGATGTTTTCTCTGTACATATTCATCAGTTAGTATTTTAGCTTACTAAACTATACCTTTTTGTTGTTGATTTATTCATCATGTTAAATATTAATTATTCATCATGTTATACATGTATATTAAATGATTGTAAGCTTTTTTGGAGTGGTATGCTAGGGATATGTCAAAATGACTCAGCAATCCTGACTAATTACTTAAATTTTAATATTTCAAGCACTTTCATACCTCAAAGTTTGTCTCACCATGTTGGAGGTAATGAAGTTAGCGAATTGTATCGCTGCAAAGCAAAATCTTGAAAGCATGATAAAATTTACAAAACAGGTACAGTTAATAAGAGCCAATGTTCAAAACTATGAGGGGTACACCTACAATTGTACTGCATTGATCAAATTGTTTGTGTCTCATAATTCATTAATATCATATTTTTATGTTTTTGTCTCTTACTTTTTATTTAGAGGGGAGTGGGGACTTTGAAAAATGAGTATTATTTATGGTTAACCTGTTCCATGAGAATTGAATAAGTTTTAACTTAACCTGTAATACTGTATGTGTACATAAATTGGCGTATTCAAAATTTAGCGCAGTCACTGGATATGGAGTTGTTGGCATAATCATGAATTAGCGCTACACATGTCCATGCTGTGTATTGTTTATATATGAGATTTATTAGTGGTATTCATAAATTAGCGCATCGTTGTCTGCGCAAAAGCCACTAAAATATGAAGCCCACTTTTTTAAGTACACATACAGTATCTTCTGTTCAGATTAAATTCATATAAAGTCATCAATTATAAATTTAAGAATCTGATATAGCTTTACACACAAATGCATTGTCATCCAAGGTATACAAAGTAACCTCTGTTGTAGGTTTGCCATGGTGATCTATGAAACAACAGAAGAAGTGAAGAAGTTCTTGGCCACACTGAAGATCTTTGATAAAACTTGCATCAGCTACCAGGAAATGATTAAAAAGCAAAAAGGTAAGGCTCAGAAGAGCAAATGAATGAGATATTCTGAAATCTGTAGTAAAAAATTATAAGTTCGTGAAAATCAAAATGATGTTTAATGGCATGGCTTTCATTATTGGAAAGATGGCTTTTCTAGAGAATATTATGTCAAAAAATTCAGCCTCATAGATTCATTCTGGGACTAGGTCAGTATTGTACACAGAATTCTAGTATTATCAACCAGTCTCATATTAAATGTCATTGGGTTTGATGGTTTTATTTGAATGGTAGCTCTTGTGCTTGTTGCTAGTAAACTTCATCTGACAAACTCTGTTGTCCTTTGACCCCATATTTTATGCAATTGATTTCATTGTTAATGCTGCTGTAGCTTTTGTCCTGGTTTTTTATGTAATTTTCCTGCCGTAGACTTTGAAAATAAAGAAAGTCATCATTATTTTTTAAAAATCAAAATTTTATCTTTAATTTCCTTTGTTACAGGATTGTCGAAGCTACTTCAACAACACCCCGAGGCAAAGGAGGCTCTATTGGATGGGGATACTCAGTTACAGCTGCATAAACGCCAGGCAAATGCCAGAAAGAAGCTGATGGAGTTGCAGGAACAGATCATGAAGAAGAACAAAGAGAAAATCAAGAAAACCAAAAATAAAAAGCTACAGAGGCAGAGAGAGAAACAGAAAGAGATGGAACTAAGAAAACTAATGGAGAGGGCAAAGAAAATCATGGAGGAGGAAAATATAGACCAAAATTTTGGAGACGTCACAGTATTTGCAGAGAACCAGGGCAAAGGCAGATCAATGGAGGAACATGAAAAGTTGAGGAGCCCTCTGAAGAATTCAGAGCAGAGATTAACAGCCATTCCTACTAGAGTTGTTCCAATTGAGGGCAATGTAAGAGATGCAGAGTACAACAGACTGAGGAGAGAGGTCCTTGAGGAATTGAAGGAGGATATTAGCAATGGTAAATTCAGGGATCAGAAACACTTGGAAAATACTATAAACAGGAGAATTGACTCCAAGCGAGCTGCAGAAGCAAGGCCAAGGATGTGGGGAAGTGGAGTGGCTATGTCACAAACACAGACATCGCAGCATGGAGTTCCAGGTGGAGAGTATACTATGAATCAATTTAAAGAGGACTTCAGAAAAAACAGAGTCCCAGTACAAGGGGTTCCACCACCAGATTCTAGGTTACCAGAAAGTATTAAGATAATGATACCAGTACCAGAAGGTTCTCTCCCAATGCATAGAATGCCAGGCCCAACACAACTGATGCCAGTTACTAATCAAAGTGGACCTGCCCCAGTTCAGATGATGCCTAGACCAATGGCTCCTGGGATACCTGTGATCTCCAGCCAGATGCCTATCAGTAATATTCCTGGTGGTCCAACTATGACATCTGTACAGCAACTGAATCCACTTTCACAGGCACCACAAGCTGGGGTTCAGAACTTACAAAGTCAGATGCCTATTATACCAGTTAGTGGTTATCTTCAGTCAAATATAGCAATGCCTGTGTCATCAACAGTTACACAACAGGTTCCAATTCTGCCAGGAGCCTTACGTGTGTGTCCAACAGTACCAGGTTCTGTTCCTGCAAGAGTTGCTTTGCAACCACAAGGCCAATTGCAAAGACCACCAACAGGAATTCCAGTGTCTATTACTGCACCAGGAGTTCCAATGGTTCAGACAAAACCAGGACTTATCGGATACCCTGGTTCAATTCCACGTGGTTCAGTACCACCTGTTCCTTATTCTCATGGTGCTCCCCCTGGACATATTCCACTTAGTAAACCTCCTGGAACAGTTCCTAGAGCACCAGTTCCAAGGGTACCTGTCCCAGTTGTAGCTCCTACAACTCCTGCAGTCATACAATCTCAACCAATTATATACAAACCACCAACTTCTGAAACTCCTGCCAATGATTCTAGTAATATGAGGAAGAAGCCAGATGATAACACACTGAATCAAAATAGTATGCAGCATGGAAAGCCAACGAATGATGATAAAAGATCAGATGCACAGTCCAAGTCTAAAGGGAGGGACAATGCACCTTCTATTAAGATTAATGTTGGGAGTCAGTTCTCCAAGAAGTCAATGGAGGTACTAAATAAGCGAAAGAATGAAGACATAGATGGTGTACCAATGGATGATGGAGTGCCAGCTAAAAAGTCTAGAACAGAGGAAGAGGGTCCAAAATCAATTTTGAAAAAAGCAGAGCCCAAGGGCAAGATTGACATGTTTGAATCTGCAGACAAAAATCCAAAGAGCACTCCTGCAGACTCACAGTATAAGAGGCAGGGAAATCTCATCAGTGTTCCAATCCAGAAAGGGAATGTGCAGCAGAAGACACAAGAAAAATCTACTGGACAGCAGGAGATTGGCACCAAAATCCAGGTGCTACAAAATAGGATAGCTCAAAAACTCCCAGCACCTGCACCTCAGAAATCAGCAGAACCTCCGCAAGAGGATCTTTCTGAGGGGAATGTTTCCCCTCAAACCCTCTCTTACTTAAAGACTCATCAAGTGAGACAGCAGAGGACCTCATTTTCCTCAAGTGAATCTGAGGATGAGTCGTCCGATTTCATACAGAGGCTGAAGGGACCTGAGGGGCTAATGTCATTGATGGATGTGGATGTGTCAGGAGCTAAGTCTAACAGCAGTGGGATCCAGGAAACACTGAGGAAGTGGGACTACCTGGCAGAGAAGCAGAAGATTCAGAGAGAGAAAGAAAAACTAGCTAGGAAAGGTACGGTAATGTCTTGTCAGTTTACTTGAGGTGGCTGTGTCAAGTGTACTTGAAATGGTCTGTTTTACATATCTTCTATATTTTAAATAGTTATGGATTTTTTTTCCAGAGGCTAAACTTAAGAAAATGATGGAAAAAGCACCCATTCTTGTATGTACTATTTTATTGTTTGACCTTTCAACCTGATTTAGTAGCATTGGTGGAGAAATATAAAACCATGTATTTATAATACTGTATACAGGGTTATTTTCGCCCCATCTTATTTTTGCCCATTCGCACTTGCAAACAAATTTGCCCCATTTTAAATTCTCTTAGTTTTGTTGTGTTCTTTGAATTTGCCCCATTTTAAATTTGCCCACCTGTAACTAGGGCGAAAGGGATGAAAATAAAACGGGGGCGAAAATTTCTCTGTATACAGCATCACATGCACTTTCTTCTTTTCATTGTATTCTCGCATTTCATTGGACAGATGCAGGAGTATGAAGAAAATGAGAAGAAGAGGTAAGAACCAATCTCTGAGATAAGAACCAAATGACAAGACTTTACAATTCTATGTTGTTATTGGCATCGTAAACAAGGATAAGTACCAATATGTGTCAACTTCCATTTGTCTTTGTTTATTTAGACAAGAGAAGAAGAAAGTCCATGAAAATGACCCTTTGATAAAACTCCTACAATCTGCTCTTGAAGCAGCTCAGCAAAAAGCAAACATGAAGTAAGTGCATAGACATTCTATTACTTTCAATTTAGCAGTCTCAGTATAATATTTGAACTTGAATATTAATTCTTAAATGATTTATTTGAAAATTTAGTTTTGTTGTTTTGAACAAGTATGCTGTCTGAGCTTATACAGTAGTCCTTGAAGGGAGGGGGGAGCATATTGGAGCATATTCAGTCCATATGTCATTCAGTAGGTCGGTCTTGAGGAGTATATTTGGAGGAAGGTTACATTATCAAAGGTCAAGGTCAAATGGGACATATCAAGATACTGAATGCTCAATATTTTGAAAACCCTTTGCTTGATAGACATCAAACTAGGTACACTGGTCCCCCAAAAGGAGTAGATGACCCCTATTGTTTTGAGGACACAAGGATAAAGGTAAAAGGGTCTAACTACTCAAGACATGGGAAGATGTTGTCTGCTCAATATCTTCAGAACCCTTTGTTTGACAGAGATGAATTGGTCCCCATATGGAGTACATGACCCAGGGCTCGACATCATAACTTTTTTTCCTACTTGTCCATTCGGACAAGTGACCAAGACATTTACTTGTCCGAACTTCATCTTCACTTGTCCAAAATATCTAATACTGTGAACTGGAAAACTAAAATAAAGTCCATTACACATGACATGTGCTTGATTGATTCGTGATGTTATTGATAAATACAACAAACACATAAAACGAAATTTTATCTACTGGGGTAGTCTTTCTGGTCTGACAACAACATAAATGTCCACAAGTGAACCAAACTTCGTTAAGTTCGTAAGTTCGATGCCTTTTCAGTAGTATGCAATTAGTGAACTTCGATCCCGATCGAATGTGAACTCAATTAATAGCGATCGCTATCGGGATCGAAGTCCGGTTTTTATGTACACCTTCCGTCTTGAAACTACCGATTAACTTTCAACAGTCGTTTTTTTAAATTATTTAGAGACTCCTTTATATTAAAATGCACTTGTCCAATCGGACAAGTGCCTAGGAATATTCACTTGTCCGTAATTTTTTTTCACTGGTACCGGACAAGCGGACAAGCGTTAATGTCGAGCCCTGTGACCCCTATTTATTTTAAAGTTACAAGGTCAAGGGTCAAACTGAACATAAGAAGGTATTGAGCACTCAATATCCAAAGAATCATTTGCTTGGCAGACTCAAACGTCTTCTAAAAAAGAGATATCCTCTGATGATTTTGAGGTCACAAGGTCAAAGTTCAAGGGTCAAACTTGACATATGCTCAGTATCTGCATAACAGGTTCTGCATAACAGGTTGCTTTCTTGACAGACATCAGACTTGGTACACTGGTTTTTCTAATAGAAGTAAATTACCCCTTATGATATCAAGGTCTGATAGAGATCTTCTGACAAGTAGATGACCCATTTTTTCAGTATCCTTACAGACATTCTGAAATTAAAATCCTTTTTATACCCCCCGCAAAGGAAGTTTAGGGGGGGTATATTGGAATCAGCATGTCCGTCTGTCTGTCCGTCTGTCTGTAGATGAGATTTTGTGCGGACCATTTCTTGGAAACTGTTGGAAGGATTTGTCTGAAAATTTGTACACTTATTATTCACCATATGAAGGTGTGCACCTGGTATTTTCATTATGATTGGATAATTATTTTGCATTTTACAGGTGTTTTTTTCATTTTTATTATGTGGTTTTGTCTGGATCTGTTCCCAGAGACTATTGCATAGATTTGTATGAAAATTTGTACACTTATTATTTACCATATGAAGATGTGCACCTGGTATTTTCAACATTATTTGATAATTTTTCTGCATTTTACAGGTGTTTTTTTTAAATTTAATTTATTGACTTAGTCATTTCGGGTTCATGTCTAAGGTTTGAGACATAGAATCTAGAGCATCTGTACAAAAATGTGAACTACAACTTAAAACTACTCATTAGAACTAAAAAAAAAACACAAAGTATTAAAAACAGTTTTTACATTACACAGCAGATAGTGTAAATCCATTTGTCCCTTGGGAGTAATGAGTGGACATGCATCCAGTTAAAGATTAATTAATGAGTTCAGTGTGGGAAGCTGTTAGGGCATCTCTGATCAAGCAGTTCTTATCTATTTCTCAGGGGAATTGGGCAGAAAGAAATAAAGATCTCTGTTGTCTAAGTCTCTTAATTGTAATTTATGTCTGTCAAAATACATAGTTACTAAAACCAGCCTTTTATTTTTAAAATGAGTTTGATATAAAGGTATTAAAATCAATTTGATTTTCTATAATTAATTATGATATTTTTTTTTTCAACAATCAATTTGCAGAGTGTCATGTCTCACAAAGATGGCAGATAGTTGCAAACTATTTTTTCAATGTAATAAAAAACACTGTAATTATTAGTATTGATGTTTTATTAGGTGCACCTTAGTTTCATTCATTAAACAAAGTGCCCCACCACAGCATGATACATCCATCAAATATTGTTAAATTATCATAAACAGTTTAGATTCAATTGTTCCAATGACATCTTAGCGAGACAAGGCAGTCTGCAATTTGTTGTAAAGATATAAAAATTCTAATTAAAAATGTACAATAAATAATTAGTTTAAATTATATTATACAATATCATATAAGTTTTAGTTATTATATACAATATCAAATTAGTTTTAATTACATCAAATTTATCTTGAAAGTAAGACTAGGCAACAAGAACAATTCAATACAACACAAGCAATTAATTAAGAGACTGATTCCTTTTGCCCAATTCCCAAGAGATGTAGATAACACCTGCTTGATCAGAGATGCTCTACCAGTTATCTCCTCACACTAAACTCATTAATTTCTCTCTAATTTGACATGCAATTTTCTGCTATCAAAATTTTCCTTGACCAGTGCCTGATCATTACACCCATGGGAGAGGTGGAATTTTTGTTGTTACAGATTGCTGTAAAGAACATAATGAAAAAAATAAGACTAGTATTTTCTTGATTTAAATTTTTTTAATAAAGATACTGCAATACTCTGACATCTTTTGGGATTGTGTAATTTAAAAGTTAAAAGACATATTTTTTTGATTCTAAGTCTAATGGTTTTCTAGTTATGATTTTTCCATATTTGGCCATAGCGTCTTTATTAAAGGTCAGAGCGACCTGGTTTTAATGTGCGACACACCTTCTACCTTAGATGTATCAGCTGACAAAGTTTGATAATTCTAGGCCTAATAGTATTAAAGTTATGAGCCGGACATGAAAAAGCTAACGGACGGACGAACATGAACGCTATAACATAATATGTCCCGTCGTAAGACGGGACGTTTAAAAATATATAATGAGTAATTAAATTTTCACTGTAAATGTTTAAGGAAATTGTGAACACCTCTCACATCTAGAAAACATTAGTGATTTGGTACTTTCTCTGAAAAAACCAGTGGGGGGTATTTGTCCCTTTTGGACATTCTAGTTATTATTGCCACACTGGGGGCATATATGTTTCTAAATCTTGTTAAATGTCCTTTTAGGCGCTCCCCCTCACCAGCCACTGACCATGAGGAGGAGGACATGTCTGTGTCTGAGGATGATGAGGATTCTACCACGGGAGGAGAATTCATCATAGATTATGGTCACAAGTCACTATCAGGACAGAAAGGTAACCAGTTTCAACATGTTGTAAATCTATCAAAAACAGTTACAGTGAACATGATTATAATGAATTTACACTTGCAACAAGGTGATTTTTTATACCCCACCATGAAAATGGCCAGGGCATACAATTTTTGTTCTGTTTGTATTCATCCAAAACACTTTGCATTTAGTTTAGTTTCAAAGGAACTGTTCCAAAATTTTTTATCAAAATTCATACCAGTTGCATATTTGTGGAGCTATTCAACTTTATCATAATTTTCTTACGTTGACCTTTCCTATGACCTTGACCTCCAATTCCTAGTTTGGCCTTGAGCTCTGTTTCAAAGAATTTATTCAAGATATTTTTATCAAAAGTCATACACTGATACAAACTGTTGAGAACTACTCAACTGTGTCAGTTTTCTTTTTTACCTTGACCGTTCAATGTGAGAGAATTAACATGAAACTATGAGACTTCATTTAGCTATTTGAATCAACACCACATATGGAAAGTTAGACAGAGAATTTATTACTTCAGTAGTTGGGAGCTTTTTATCGATGGTGGTCTGGTTTATTTATCAGAGGTTTGGGTCATTTGTAGATAAACCACAGAGAATGACCAGAAAACAGAGAAGGGCTGTCAGGATGGAGCAGAAAAAAGCCGAAGTGGAATACAGGGAAAAATTAGAGGTAATTAATCACATTACTTATAGGTGATACAGCATTATGGCATCAGCTTCATATGAAATATGATCCCTGTATAATGAATAATGATTGTTCTCATGTATTTTTAATTACAGAGTGATAAACAGAAAAAGTCGTCAAGGTAAGAAGGAAAATGTTATCTGATGAAGTCTTGATATTTTTAATTTTTTTTTTTTAATTTCCTTTATTTGGTTTCATTCTTTTATGGCTTTTTGCAATTATTAATGATTTTGATCTTTTAATACAGTGAGAAAGAATCTCGAGATGAACTTACAGAAATGTTGAAATCTTCACTGCAAGCTGTGCAAGAGCATCTTAGGTAGGTGATCTAAATAAAAATTTTGTCAAAATTCTGCTTTATCTATCAAAGTCACAGAGGAAAACAGAAAAATTCATGTTGAATATTTATAACAGTGAAATGAGGAACCAAAAGTCCCAGTCTCAGCAGGAGCAGGCTTCACAAAATCCATTCCTGCAGGATCTAATGTCACGAGTTCAGTCACACATTCAGGCTCCCAAAGATGGCACCAGCAGTTCCTCAATGTCTGCTCCACCCAGCTCACAGTCCACTACTACCCCACACAACATTCCACACAAACCTTTCATGCAGATCACAACTGTAACCAGCATGGGAACTAGTTCAGGGGTACCGGGAACCAGCTGGGCTTCACAGATGCAGCCACATCAAGCAAGATCAGCTTCTATCTCTCCTTATGTACCTATGTCCAGTAATGCCTCTAATTTACCATCTAATACATTTGAATATGGCCATGGTAGCAAAGGAGCACAGCCAGCTAGCTGGAGTAGTTTTGGAAGCGATTTGAGTGGTGAGGTGTCGTCTGCCATTCATGGACAGACAGTATCGCAACCTGTCCAAAAAGTACAGGAAGTGTTTGATTATGGACACAAGTCAAAAGCTGAATCTGCAAGTAGCAAACCTGAGCTCCAAAAAGGTAAATGTTTAGGAAATATTGAATTTAATTAAATTATTTATATTTGTTTCTATGAGGACAAAATATTTTTCAATTCACAACAAAATATTCTCCAGGTAATGCTACAGCAACTTCTTCGCAAGCCAATCCACAGACAGACATTCACAGTTTAACAATAGAGAGCATCAGTGAAATTCTTAAGGTAGCAAAGAACCTGCAAGCTTCTCAAGCGAAAATGAAAGATAATACTGAAAAACAGAAGGAAATGTCGGAGCAACAAAAGAAAGCTAATCAAGAAAACTTGAAGAGAAATAGTGTTGGTGAGTTTTTGAAGAACTTTCCACCAAGTGTTAGTGACAATTCTTCCCAAGGAAATAAAAACTCCATGGACAAGAATGTGTCTGGTCAGTCATCGAGTGGTCCAACTGGAACCAGAGTGCAATTTCATGGTTCTCAAGGAAGAAATATAAATAATCAGAGAAATCAAAATTTAGAACAGCAAGGAAACAACAACCTGCAGAAAAATATGTCATCAGAGCAGAATGTGCAGAAGCCCGAGTCCCCACCTGTGGATACCTTTCTAGGAATGGTGGAATCCAGGTATGAAAGACAGAAACAAAGAGAGGAGGAAGACAGGAGGAAAAGAATGGATAAAACTTCATCAGAAAACAGGGGCTCTCTTGGTGGGCAGCAGGGTGGAGGAAATAATACCCAGCCTCTACAAGGGACTGGAAGGGGATCATCTCTTCCCAGAGGACCATCATCCTCTTCATCTTTTAGAACAGGACAACCACATTCAAACAGATCATCATTTGGACCAGGTCATTCAAATACATCCATGAATAATCGACCAGGGCAAAGACAACATTCCTCAATGCAGAACAGACCAGGGCAGAACATGCAAAATAGACCAGGTCAGAACATGCAAAATAGACCAGGCCAGAACATGCAAAATAGACTCAGCCAAGGACAAACTGGACAAAATAGACCAGGTGATAATACAGTAAATAGGCCAGGGCAAAATAGACCAGGACAAAGTACACAGAATAGACTTGGACAAAATACACAAAATAGACCTGGTCAAATGAAAACACAAAACCAAGGGTACACGAGTATGTCACAGTCAAACGTTCAGAAAAAGAGTGATGCTGAATCCATAACAGAACTAATGTCAGCCAATGAACTGCAGTCTTGGGAGAACTTGCAGCGACAGTTGAGACAGTCATACTTGGAGGATCAAATATCTGGACCAACAATGTCTGCCTATGACCAGCGCCTACAGCAGGGAAATCAGCAACCATCATCACAACAGCAAACTAGTTCGCTTGACTGGTTCCGACAATCCAAACAGCTACAAATGCAAGACAAGTTAAAAAGGCAGATGGCGCCAAAAGGAATTCTGAAGGGAGGTATGCAGTCTTTTATTGAAGTTTTTTTAATTAGATTTTGCAAGAGAGGGGGTGTAAAAGTTTGTTACTATGAAATATCTATTGAATACATGTTGATTTGAAATGTAAGAAGTTAACTTTTTTTGGTTTTCACTTGAAACTTTTGATTTTAGTTCCCAGTACCGCAAGTAAAATTTGGGCAGAGGAAGACATGGATTTTCACACAACTCCACAACAGACAGCTAAATGGGGACAAGGTGTGGCCTCGTTTGACTACTCTGGCAGGTCGAACAAGGGACAGAACTCCAACCTAGTGCATTATGCAAATTCCGACTCTGACTGACTTTGATTTAAAAATTTATATATACAGTCTGTGGTGTAGAAAAAAAATTCAGTAACTTTGAAATGTTGAATGTTTTACCCATTTACCTGTATTATCACAAAAGGTTGTATGAAAAAAAAATCATGAATTAAATTGCATGTGTGTATATGTGTGTGTGTGGTTTGTATTTTTTTGAAATATTTCTTATTTCCAGATTAAATATTATGAATGGTGTGGGAGGAAATGATGTAAGATTCTTCATTTTTCTATAATATTGTTCAATTGTTATTTTAATTGTAAAATACTTTTTATGTATAAAATGATACAATTATTGTTAAAATCATATTTAAAATGCATGATGAAATTTTCTATACTTCAATTGTTGCAGATATACATATGTTGTTTTTCTTTTATTACCATCAATATTATAACTGGACAGTTTTCCCACTCTGTGGTTTTCATTTTTTCTGACTATTTCTTATATACCCGGTATTGATTCAATGCTCAATGAATTCTGACTTAAAAATGAAATATGAATTAAGTGCTTAATACTGGTAATCAATATTCAATAAATATTGGTAGAAATACTGGTACATAGGGAAAATGTTGTTAAGGATAGATTTTCCAAAAATAAAATGAACTTCAAGATGATAAATTAATGGATTTGTTATTATTATATTTCAGATGCCATTTTCACTTCAGTGCCAAACCCAATTGCTTCAGTTTTGATTTTAAGAAAATGCACCCATTTTTAAGACTGATAAGTACATATTATAGATACTGCATAAAATATTCTTGTCATTCAGGTTGCAGAAAGGGGAAACAATTTCATGTAAGAGTATCTGAAGATTATGTTAACACAAGTTCATTTGTATGTTTTTTAAGAATACTGCCAACTGTATGCAACAGTATTTTGACTGTTACTTCTTTGAAGTGTACTTAAAAATTGCACTAGCAGTTTTGAAGTTACATTTTTGTTTACCTGGTAATGAATAACAGTTATTTGTTAACTAATGTGAACTTCAGTGGATGTCATTTTCACAATTCTTCATGAAAAAAGCAAAAATAAAATTCATCATAAATAAGACTTGATAATCATAATGTATTAGGCACTTCAGAGTTAATTCATTCATGCAGTCAATTTTCTAAACATCATGCCTTAGGCTATTTTTGGTGTGGGGGTAATCTTGGCTTCTGTTCGCTATTATTTATAATATTCAAAATTAAGAAAGAGGTTGAATTGCGTTGGCCCACTGTTGGAAAGAGATGATGAGACTTGTGAAAATAAAATATAAGTGGCAGCGGTGGGATTCGAACCCACGCCTCATTGAGACTGGTGCCTAAAACCAGCGCCTTAGACCACTCGGCCACGCTACCTTATTTCTTACCCGGCTATTAATGTGTTATAGTATAAAATAAGAAATTAAAATTATTTATAATATGGTAGATATGGTTTTGTTTTTAAATTTTGTGTCGGTAGTGACTTTTCTGAATGTCTCAAACATTGCTATCAATTGGGGGAATATTTACAAGATCATATTAATGCTTTTCCGTGAGGCGATATTCGGAAATCTCGAACACTGTAAACATAAAAGATTTCACCTCCTTACACTATGGAATCGACCGAGGTGTTTCGAATGAACCAAGGTCATGCGGTGTTTACGGGAACATAAATAGAGCCTACATACATACATACGGTAAGCATACTGTCCTGCTTGAAATAGATAATGAATAAATATATTGACATGCGATAAAGAGAGATGATTTCTCATCCATAGTGTAAAGTTGATCATTACTAATTTAGATTTTGTTTAAAAAGAGGTCTAAACAATTGATGTATTACTCATCAGGGAATTCTAAGAAAATCTGGATATGTGTGCATGGATTATGTTGCAAAATGTCACATAGTACACTTACGGAAATAATTGTTTGTTAAATCTGCTGAAACATTTGAAATGTCATAGTTTATTCTCATTTGATTTAGATAACTTACATCCTTGGGTCGAGAAATTTCTGACACAAGAAATTCAACATGGACAAGGAACGTATTTTACATGGAATTCCAAATGACAGGAATATTTATGGATACAATTCAACAAATATTATTTGATTTTGTGTTTTGAATAAAACTTACAACAGGACATTCAGGTGAAAGAGAAGTCCACCATTGACTATGTCTCAATCGATTTCATCCACTGAAAGTGATGGGGACATCATACTGTACCCATTAACTTACTTTACCGATGATGAAGAAGAACAAGACCAAGATGAGAGTTCTAATGATGCGTCCGATGAGAGAGATTCAGAAAATGAGGTGGAGGAAAGCAAACCGAAAGCTCATATGACCCTAAGACAGAGGCGACTCTCTAAATCGTACTCCCCTCTCGCAAATTTAAAATTGAAAGTAAAAGCTGGTCAGACCCGTGCTCATAATCGCTGGATTTCAGCAATCAAAAAAGCAAGGGATTTGTCAGACCCCTGGGCCAGTTTTCACATAGAGGACATAGTAACAGAAACTTGTATCAGACATAGGTACAACCCACACAGAAAAACATGGACAAAGGATGAAGTTCAAGTCAAGATGATGCAAAAGGTACATATTAATTTTCTGAATTCTTTATTGAACTTAAGTGTTGAAATATAAATTTGGAGTTTCAGAGTATTGTCACAATATATTGTTCAGCTGCATTTGTAATTTTAGCATCAGAATTTATAATGTATATATATTTTTTTACTTTTTAGCCCTTCAATCGTGGTGCAATGAGACAGTGTTTTAGACTGTAAGTATATCTTTATATTTATTGACTGCTTTTCATGAATTAAAAAAAAAATATCATTAGAATAAGTTCATGAAGAATGAGTCATATTTGCAACAGATTGTGAAAAGAAAAAAAAGGCATATGGAAGTAAGTGGCCCTAAGTGATGTATATAAACATAGAGATGATTTAGGTTGTGTGTGTGTGTGTGTGTGTTCAAAAATGAAGACATTCATACGATATGAATAAATGTATCAAATCTATCTGTTTTTTATTTGAAACAGTTTGAATAATTATAATTAAGTCATAATCATATGGCACATGTGCATGTACAGCTCTATGTAGTCAAAGATATTTTTTGGCTGTTAAATGTATAGTTTATAAATTAACTCTTGCTAGTATAAATATTATGTTAAGTCGTGAACAATCATAATTGTACAAGCCAAAATATTTGATGGGGAAAAATTGGATAACTAGCACCTTTTTCTAATCTTTTTGAAAGCCCTGTGATTATAGTCTAATGTCCCATGTGCCAAAAATTTAGTTTTTTTTTTTTTTTTGGAAATTCTTGGCTTTCGCGATCGAATGCAATAAACAAGTTTATAATCTAATAATTATTGTATCCATGCATACTTAATTATATTCATATATATCCTAGAATGCTCAGTAGCACTTGCATATTTCTTTTGATTCATTGTCTCTTTATTGAAAACCTTATTAAAGGATAGTAATTTCCCATTTGCATGTGTGGATGCTACACATCTACGCACAGTAGCTCAAAACTATTTCTGCATCTAACGCAATACATTGATTTTTTTTAAAGAAATGAGCAACCGTGAATTATTGACTTCCATTTCATCACTGTACAACTGTCATTTCCAAGAAACTGATTGGTATTTTTCAGACTAGGATAGACTATCATTGGTGTCATTAATAAAATGATGATTAGTTCCACATGATTACTATAAGAAGAAAAAATTGAGGGTGAATTTGAATGTTTAGTAAGGAAAGTGTAATAGATTTTTCAAACGAAGGGGAATTTTTTAATTTGTGATGAAAAAAGATCAATACAGTCGGATTACTTTTGAAAAAATGTTTTTGTTCAAGCTGGTACTAGCTATTTTGAAAAGTATGATGGTAGCAGTAGCTGTGAAGGTTGTGGGTGTATGCCTGTGTATCATTTGTTTTAAGTGGATATTCTCACAGACAAGCTAGACACACAACTGTTATTTATACATGATGTATAGTTACATGTATTTGTGTTAAACATTATTTTTGCTCAAGTTCTTAAAAGTGATGAACACTTACATAGCAGTAGCTGCAATAATGTAGCCCTCTCCGATTTTTTTTTTTGGGAGAGGCTCTCCTGAAAATATCAGATTTAAAAAAAATCGGAGAGGGCTACATTATTGCAGCTAACATAGCAGTAATGTTGGTTTCCTATTTTTGACAAATGTTGACAATGTTTTTAAAAATCTTTAATGACGAACAAGAAACAGCCCACATTTTTGTTGTCAAAGTGCTGAAGTGCATTCAGTGCAAATTATGCATAATTTTAATACCACAGCAAACTTCCTAGTTTTCTCATGATGAGAAACTTGTAATAATTGTGGTAGAGGGATTTGTGACAGGCACAAAATTTATGAGAGTGTCTCTTAACATGATACATTATAATTATTACTGAAGAACATTTTGAATCCATTTCAAAAAGAAACATTAATTCACATGCAAGAATATTAGAGGTTTTTCATTGTAACATATTGAAAAAGTATATTCGAAAAAGAGAAGTATACAGTTGAATATTCTGTAGTAGAAAAGGAGGAATGAATAAAGAAAATATTGCTGGACTGGGAATCGAACCCAGGACCCCTGTATCACCAGTCAGGTGCTCTAACTCAGGCCATTGTCCACAGTCCATGAAGCCCTCACTGCTACAAATAATATATTTACATTAGCATAACAGCCCCATTTTTTTCTGAAGGTACAGACTTTTCCTTTGTGAACAAACATCGGGCTGTTAATCAAATTTAGTAAGTTAATTTAGTTTCACGATGTATTTGATCTGGAATCAGTGGAAGAAATTTGAAATATCATATGAAACATTTTGTCTTTGTTAATTATCCTACAGCTTTTAAACAACAAAAAAGGAAATCTTAGATACATGGGTATTATTACTGATCCTACTATGTAGAGTCTGTCCCATATCTTACACAAGTTTTAAGAGAGTTAGATCATGCTGATCATGAGTGTGCATGTGCCCGTTAGCACTTCAAATTGACAATGACAGATAGTCGGCAGTAAATCTGATGGAATGTCAATACATACTGAACATACTAAAAGCTCAAACATTGTGTTCAAAACAGTATTTGCGGATTCTGTCATTTGAAATTAAATTCAGTTTTTGAAGTGAAATGTTTTTCTCTGACAAGGAAATTAATTGTTTTTTATGGGGGGTTTTTTCTTGAACTTTGGTTGAAATTCAATATATTATTGCGAGTTTTGCCTGATTAATTTTAAAGACCTAGAGTCAAGTTTTGGGGAAAAGGTCTTTGACCAGAGAGATCTGATAAACAGAATTTTACAGCTATCTTATGTTGTTATCCCAGAACGGGCACCTTGACTCATTAGTAGTAAACACTGCAAAACCTCACGTAAGCTGCTTAGCTAGCAATGGTAAACAATGAAATGTTGACACGAATATAGGTAATAGGTGAGGTGACCTCTTACTGAAAGTAAAGCAGGTAGATCATTGATGTATATTTAGGTATATAGAAAAGAAGGAAACAAATATATAGGATTTTTATAGAGTGCAAAAGCAAGGAGGTCAAATCAATATCATGTCATGAATATGATTAAATTCTGATTATCATTATGTATAAAGCTAAGTAATAGACTTAGGAGAGACCTTGAATTTTCCCTTTCATGAAAGTGCAGATATAATGTTCACAGATCAGGTATCCATAAAAAATGTTTACACTGAACCACCACATCCATAACTCTCATATCTAAAATTAGTACTGGAGTTAAAACTTTCATCTGTAGACTACTTTTAGAAAGAAAGTCAGTATATTGGTTTGAAGTCAAAATCACAATTAAGGTCAACAGACAACAAGCAGAATCAGAAACAAAAAGTGGCTCTGTTTTAGTTGGTGAAAAAATCTTCTACAATTTGAAATAACCAGTGTGCAGATACATGTATTCCTAAAGTATCCATTTCAAAGTAATATTTCAACAATTCCATTTTCTTACATACAAAGAATTAAGAAATCAATAATAATAATATCTTGTTAAGAAAAATCAATTCTCAGTTCATGTTCTTGTAAAAATATATTGATGGTGGCAGCCCAAAAATAGAATTCATTTGACTTCTTTATGAAGTTGAGGCACCTAACCAATGACAAATACACTGTAGCACAAATTAAAAACATCTCCCAGCACGACCTTCTTGATGAACGTTATGAATTTTTTTCATATGATGTTAACCTCAAGAAACTTAATAATTTTTGCCGAGAAATTTTTTCACAGAAAAGTTTAAAATTTAATTTATCATAATATCATACCTTTCAATAATAAGAACTTTACTATAAATACTTAGTTCACAATTTGAATTTGATTTTTTATGCACATAAAGCTATAGGTATTTCTCACTCCCAATTCACCCTTGTTATTTTTTTCAAAGTTGAGCAATGCTGAGTTAAGCATTTAATGCATATAATGTAGATCACCAAGTTTTGTTAAACCTTATTTTCTACATAATATATATCAAGATAGCTATCTGGTTCAAATGTATTTTATATGCGAGATCAAATATTCATGAATTGTGGTTATTGTTATATAGCAGTATAAACTTTAATGATATATAAGTTTACATGAGAATGAAATTTTCACAAGCAGTTAATATAATCTCGCTTCATTACGTAAAAATGTATTTTTCATAGAAAGTGATTTACAGTGCTACAAGTGTGGAAATATTGACAAGTTGGAAACCAAGAGGCATGTTACTAACATGCAGAATCATAAATAACAGAGATTTGCAATTGTTCAAAGTCTGGTGTGATCTTGCGGTCCCTATTGTTTACTTTTTTCAAATCTATCGCAATTTAAATCACAAAAGTCTTTAAAATTATCCGGGATAACCAAGTAAAACTTTTTAAATTTATTTTAACAAATTATTCAGGATGATATATTTATGTAATTAAGTTTCTTGATTTAATGCAATAACAAAAGAGAAATCTGAAATTGCAGAAGGTGACTCATGGTCGAATATATCGCAGCTATTTCGCCAACTTTCAGTCACTGACTTCTTTAATTTGCCTAGTTTAGTTTTAAAAAGCAATATATAGTTTTAAAACTTTGCAAATCATACACCCATCTATAATAATATTAATATTAATTGAACTTTAGATAGAAATACACAACTAATAAGGAGTTATTTTTAGGATAATACCAGGACTGTTGAATACTCTTGTAAACAAACATCTTAATGGAGGAATTGTGAATCTGTTATTTATGCCTTAATTTGCTACTAGACTTACAGTTTTCACTTACCAAATTTTTCATATGACTAAGTTGTCAAACTTATCTATTGATCAGTTTAACCATGGTTACAGTATATACATGCAGGCATTTTTGCCACATACAATTTTCATATGCATGAATATACATATGATCTAAATATGACTCACATATGATCCTCATATGAAACTCACTTCATATAAGGATCATATGTGGCACTTTTCCTTATGAGTATGATCCAATTTTTTTCCTCATGATTTCAGGAAGAAGATCTCAACATTCTCACGTAGTGGTGACTGGAGAAATGCGCAGAATTATGTTGCCAAGCGATACATTGAAGATGTGGATCGTGAAGTTTATTTCCAAGATGTCCGTCTGCAGATGGATGCAAAAGTCTGGGGAGAGGAATATAACAGGCATAACCCCCCGAAAAAGGTAAAGAAAACAGACAAAAGAAGGTAAAGAAAACAGGCATAACCCCACCCTCACCCCAAACCCCAAAGAAGGTAAAGAAAACAGGCATAACCCCACCCTCACCCCAAACCCCAAAGAAGGTAAAGAAAACAGGCATAACCCCACCCTCACCCCAAACCCCAAAGAAGGTAAAGAAAATGGGCATAACCCCCACACCCTAGAAGGAAAAGCTGGATCTTTTTTCCAAGATTCCTTGTGGCATTATGACTTTTTAGTTAAAGTGGATTTAGAGCATTTTGATTATGATTAAAAGGTTGAGTGTGAAGTAAAACTTTTAAATTTCAGTTGCAAGAAAAGAACTTGAAGTAACATGTTAATACTGTACTTGCTTTTTTTCCTGTTGAATCTTTCAGAACTTTGGAACATTTTCTTTAATAAAAGAGAAAATAAATTTTTGTCTCAGCTGATTAATTTTATTTAATATTTTGGTGTAGGTGGACATCTTTCAGATGTACATTCTGGAGTTCAAGGAGAGACCAGGAGAGCCCTTGTACCATTTGGAACACTTCATTGAAGGAGAATATATCAAGTACAACTCAAACTCAGGTTTTGTTGATGAAAATCTCCGCTACACTCCTCAGGTAAGTGATCAGAAGCTGAATTTCTTTTCAAGTATTATTTCAGAATTCAGATTACTGTAGATGTACATTATCCACTTGGGATTAATTTCCGCTATGTACGCAGTCACAACTTTTCTGCAGAAATTTGTCACAGTGTACTTAAAATTCATTAATTAAGGACATAAAATGAAATCTGCATAATTTTCTTCTTGTGGATTGAGCAGAAATTGTGATTCCGCAGAATTATGACCCATTGGAAAAAAAGTATGATTACAGTAATGTGGAAGCATTATGATGAGTAAAATATCTGAATTATTAAGGATTTTCAATTCTATATACTTTAGATTATTCCTGTTTTCTAATTTGCTCGCTGTCAGATTTTGAACATTGTAATTGCTTATGAATGGATGGTAATAAAAAATCAAAGAAATAATACATGGGACCAAATATTCATTATTTTATGCTCAATTTTCTTCTTTTAGGCATTCAGCCATTTTACATTTGAGCGTTCAGGCCATACCTTGATTGTGGTGGACATTCAGGGGGTGGGGGATCTATACACAGATCCCCAGATACACACTGTGGGATCAGGTGAATATGGGGATGGAAATCTTGGAGCCAAGGGTATGGCTCTGTTCTTCCACACTCACATCTGTAATGATATTTGTCACAGCCTCAATCTCACTGAGTTTGACTTGTCCCCAAAAGAGATAGCATCAAATAAAGATTTTTTGAGAGCACAGGTTTGTATATTGAGTAATTTTTGAATTGTATGATTTTTTTTAAATATTAGAAAAATTGTTGAGAATTATACTCCACTTCTATATCCTATTATGGTTGAACTTTAATATTAAACTCTTGAAGCCGAAACCTATTCAGTATAATTTCATTTACCTGTCAAGATAAAAGATGGTAATGGCATTCAGATCAGATCTTTTGCATGCATTAGAGAAGACAGCTGTTTCAATCCAGAAGTTTACTATTTTAGAATTTTTATTGCAGAGGAAGTCGATGATAAAGACTAAAATCCGCGGAGAAGTAGAACAGTGCCTCTCTCTGTCTCCATCCACAGAGAAAGTTGACATCACAAGATTCCTTGATCGCCAGCGGTCATCTTCCTCGGTGCTCAGTGATGGTCACACACCACCAACTGACCCTGAAAGCACCAGCAATGATGAGGAACCAATGTCCCTAGACAGCCCCAGTCCAAGACCATTTGGGGTTCGATTCAGATCACCTAGTGACACAGATAGCCAGTCATCCATGACAAGAGAGGTCAGTTTTAAATAGTTTGTTATTATTAAAACATACCAATATCTGTTGTAAACTGTATTTGTCTCTATTTATGTTTATTGCAGTTATGATCAAAACACAGCGAAAAAAAGTAGAAAAATGGAGTGTGGAGTTTTTTATTTATTGCAAAAAAATGTGAAGCATTTTGTATCTGTGTTTTGAAAGTGAATTTTGACCATTTGAGTTGCTGGTACATGTAGTAGATCTGAAAAATATTTGATACCATATATTCTTTGTGTTTGTGAAGGGATCCAGAAATAAAAGTGAGAGGTTCATGGCCATAGAGGTAGACATTGGCATACTCAACTTGAGTTCACAAAGTGCTTTTGAAAGTTAATAAGTTGTTTGTAGTTTTTTTTGTGAGGCATTGAAATTTAGCTTGTGTGAAGTGGTTTAAAGGATTTTTGGAATCAAGGCAAAACAAAGAAAAAAAAAGAAGTTTGTAGTAAATTGATTGAAATCCATTTATTATTTTTCTATAGTGTGGATCTTAATTAATGTAACACCTCCCTAACTGTTTAATCATGTTTATATCCCAAAATTTAATATCTGTCTGTGTGTGAAATATATGTACTAAAAGTGTTGATGTGTTGTTGAAATATTAATTAAATGTTACTTACCAAAATCTTAAAAACTAAGATCTGAAAATTGAGATTTGTAGTCCTAAGATAAGGCATGCCAGTATTTCGTCCCGAAATTTTAAGACACGTTAACTTTACAAGGATTTTATTTTTTTTAGAAATTAAAAGGTAAATAAATTTTCCTCAAATATTACCATAAAAATTGCTGAAAGAGTAAATTATGTACTTATTATTTCTAAATATATCCTAGTCTGAAAAATCAGGCAATATATGTAGAATTACACTTTTTTTTTGTACATTGATACCATTAACCATAACTTTTAAAATTAGTCTCCACAGTTTGAAAGTCAGGTAATATGAACATATTTAACATATGCAACCTTTATTTTATTGTCATTTCGTTCATATCTCCAAGTCATTGAAAATAAATTAGGACCTACATGCAAGATTTCTACTACTTGTATTTCTCTGATGCTTTTCTTACACAAACTAGAAGATGACTAACCAATTCAACTTTGACCCACTTCTTACCAAACACACTAACCACACTAACCACTCACCAAACCTACACATACCGGTAACGTATCACGTTTTCTTTGTCAAGATTTTACTCTACTTTCTCTTGTAGATGTATATACATATGTATTCTAAGAAATTTTTGGCCCCCACTTTTTTTGTGCATTATCTTTTGCCAATTTTATGTGAAAAATGTTTTGAGAACGTAAACAAAAGGCACATAAATCATATGAATTCTAAAGAGAAACAATTACATGTATGTAGTATCTTGGAATTTAGATATGCGCAGAATCATATTGTAATGGATTTCAGTGAAAATGGGGCAAAAATTTCTTAGTTTATGGTAGAAACATTGAAGGCACATGTAGATTTCTTCAAACATGATAAATATTGAAATACTGTGATTAAACAAGATTTTTCAAAATTCTTTTGATTTCCTTTTTCTTTTTTTATCAATCCTGTTAATCACTTTAAGTTTTTATTATCAGAGATTACATTCTCACTTATGATGATATTACAATGTATTGAAGATAATATTTGACACTCCCTAAATTTGTGAAGATTTTGTCTCACTTGTATATACCAAATAACTGTCTCACAATTATAAGGTGTCATGAAAATTAGGTGATCTGCAGTATACTTACCAATCAATTGGTTCTGGGAAAGTACCGGTAACCATTTGTTCTCTGAAAATTAGTGATGAGAGGTATATTGCTTTTTTAACTGTAAAATAAGCAAGTAGAGCGGGGCAACATTTTTTATTTCTTTTGTGATTCATGGAGAGAAAGCAAGACAAATGTTTTTGAAACAGAAGTAGAGTCTGGAGATAAAAAACAAGACAACAAATGATATGCATATGTAAAATTTTGGGGATGAAAGAAAAGGATCAGGGCTTTTATATGGAACTTTCAAGCATCTTATGACACAACACATAGCTGTAGTCTGATTTGAACAATTAGGAATGGATAACCACTGTCAATCTTAAATTTTACAATAAGCTGTGATATGCAGACTGGAACATCAAAGTTTAAAAGCAATTGTTGGGATAACATTGCTTGTATATGTATCTTTGTATTTAAAAAAGAAGATTTTTTTCATGTTTCATTTTAGTAATATTGTTTATCACACTGCTCAACGCGTTATCGGCTATTCGGTTGTTATTGGACATTCGGTGCAAGGAAGGCAAAGTTTAGAAAATATAGGTGATTTTAAATTTCTTAATTCAACGATAATTGCGTACTTCAGCAAACAAAGTTTGTGATCTTAGGCAGATAAATGATTATACATGTACTTTAAGCAGCAAAAAGAACAAACCAAATCACTCTCTTTCTAGAGATATACAGCTCTTTCAAATGATATTTTATTAAAATTTCGGAATATTTCATCACATTTTGGCTTTTGAAGAAGTCAAAATCAGATTATTCTATAAAACAAAACGGTTTATTTATTCTATGGACAATCATATACCTGTAGATAAGCAGACTGAGATCAAAAATCCAAATTAAGGGTTAGTTAACAGGCATCTAAAATGTCTCGTTAGGTTAAAACATGTTATCGTCAACAAAGTTGATGTTGCCGGATAATTCGGTTTTTACGGGTGTACGTTATCGGAAACTCAGGTTAAAAAGTTTCTTTCAGCTTTAGAAATAGATTGGGAAAAAAAGTAATTTATAATCTGTTAATCCTTGAAAATAGCAGACATAATGTGTTTTAAGGGTATGCGATCCTCAGCCATGAAGGATAACTCTTAAAATTATTATTTAATTGAAAAAGTCTCAACATGAAGCTTGAAATTGAAAGCTATTCATGCAACAATTTCCATTTTATGCATCTTAATATGATTTAAGGTTTTTGAATTCTTAGAAAGGATCTTGTAAAAAGTTGACATTTGTTCCTTATAAAAGTAAAAAAATAAATACAGTTTTAGATGAATAGGATTTTCGTGAGTCTAACCTTAAACACCAATGCTTTTTAGCATTATATGAAATTGGAATGGATTTGTGATGTCTTGCAATTATAGCACAAGCTTTTTACACTATGTATTATATAAATTTTGGAAGAAAATGGAATACCTATACATGTAAAACCAAAGAAGTATTTAAAAAACATGCAAATTTCTCTAAATGCCTGGATACCTATTATTTTTTAACTTAAAATATATTTGTTGATCAGTTTTCAATTAGAAAATGCATAGTTGATGTTTCTATTCGTCTTCTGAATATATTGGAGATTTAATAATTTTCCCTATGTACATGTAATATGATAAACTATAATGATTAACTTTGAAGAAATACAGTGGGTAAATATACATTAATTTGTGAATTCAGAGATATTTTTGTGAGCATTTTCAATTACATAACTGCTGAGGATCTGAATACCTTAAGTAATTTTTGAAAATTTTCCAGCTTTCTATTGTTATTTTGTTTTGATACTTGTAGATGTATATAAATAAGAATAATTATTATAATTATGATTTTATAATATAACTCCCTATCTGTTCAATCATTTTTCTGTTATCCATTAAACATTATATATATTACATGTATATAACAAATCTATATTAGTCATGTCTTCCGAAATTACTGTAGGTCGCTTAAATTCCACTAGGTTAAAATTTCACGATTTCTCAAAAAGTACCAATCGCGATGGTTTTAATTTCATGCTACAAGAAATTAATTTAAATTTCGTATAAGCATTTAAACGTTTTTAAAAACTAATGATAGCATTCACGATAGGTTTAATTTCGCAGAAAAATGATGAATCGCGAACATAGTGAAATTAAAATCATAGTGATTATTTTCCAATCTACAGTATGTCATTTGGTGCTCAAATGAGCCTAGAAGGCTAAATGTTTTTATGTCCAATATAGAGGTCGCCCGTGTGGCGCAGTGGTTAGAGCGTCTGCTCTAGAGTCGCGAAGTAAGGAGTTGATCCTTACGTCATGGGTTCGAATCCCACTGCGGGGCGTGGAGACCGGTCCTTCGGATGAGACCGTATAAACCGAGGTCCCATGTCGCAGTAGGTGCTGGCACGAAAAAGATCCCTAACTGCTCAATGGCCGTAAGTGCGGAGTATAGGACAAAATTTGCAGCTCTCCACCGGCAAGTGGTGGCGTCTCCATATGAGTGAAAAATTCTCGAGAGGGACGTTAAACAACATACAAACAAACAAAATCCAATATAGAGCGATGGCATTGTTTGTGTCAAACCATTTGATTTAAAGGTTTGAAATAGAGGAAATAGAATGAGGAACATATCGCAAAGAAATATTTCTTTATAAATTAAATTTTAAAAAAAAACGTCAAATTTCCCAAACACGTGAACAACACTTTTTGGGGGGGGGGGGGGGGGTCTGGTCGATTCACTTCACTTCTTCATATGTTTAACTTTTTCTACAAACAGTGATCCGCGTTTTCAATGAAGGGGGGATGCCATGGGTCTTTTTTATTTGCTTGAGTATAAAAGTTCAATAACTCTGCAAATTCAAGGTGAGGTTCGAACCTCCCCAACACCCCCCCCCTCCCCTCCAGCTCCAAGCATGAGCTCCACCTACACATTGAATTATCTACGGGTTTACCATTTGGCCGATAATGATACAGAGCACACTGTGGGTGTGACCGATCGACAGGGGGTGTTTATTCCTTCTTGGCCACTAAACCAACCACTGATGTTTTCTCTGTTCCAAATTTATATTGTTTCAATAGACTTCTGAGCTTGATTACTGTTCATTATCTTCATAATTTCCTTCCGTCAGTAACGCTTTTTGAAAACCAGTAAAGTCAATCTCTTTTTTTCCTCAAAAGTTAGAATTCTAGGTCATATTTGGCTTAACACCGTTTTGGGAAATTCATTAAACCACCCTTGAGTTTAGATTCTTTAATTGCTTTATACCAAACTAAAACATGTATGTACTTTGTACTAACAAAAGGCGGTTAAGGGTAGATCAAAAATGCAAAGTCAACGAATAAAGACGAAGCAAGAAAAACAGAGATAAAAACGAAGAACAGTGAGTAACTGAAAGGCAAGCATAGAAAACTAAGAATAAATTACTTTGAATTCAGCAATTACTTTGAGAGTCTTTTATATTGCGAATAATGCAAAGTAAGAATCGCAATAATTAAATCTGGAATCTGCATTTTGGTTACAATAGAGATTTATAATTCTAAGGTTTTAAAACTTATACCAAATTTTCGAACAGGTTAAGATCACACACATTTCAGTGATTATGAGAAATGCCAAAAACACTCATTTTTTTTTTAAAGTTACATATTCTAAAAAGAGACAAATGATAGCCAAAAAATTCAAATTGTGTGCCTGCCATTTTAAATATTTAGATTTAATGAAGTTTTCTGTTGTTTCTTTACATTTTCCTAATCTATGACAACCTTTGTTTCTGATAACAAATCGAAATTTCCGATAACAAAGTGAACCATTCAACCGTATTTCCGATAACATCCTACAAGTTAAAAAACGGGAAATTTTACCTTTTAATTGCATCTTTTCTAGATTCTGACGATGTCCCATTGTTGACAATAACTAATGTTAGGTAAATATAAGGATTTTGAAGAAAGAGGCTATATGCAGCAATGTCAATCGGACAAAAACTTGCAAAATATAACAAATTTGATTTTTAAAGTCTTCCCAAGACTCACAAATACTATGATAAAACATATTGGGGCTTTATTTTGTATCTGTATTCATTCTTGTTCACAAAAAGCACAATCAACATTCTCTGTTTCTATTTTTACAATGTTTACTTGCAACAATTTACTAACCTGTCAAAAGTTGTTATCCACCGAATGCCCGATAACAACCGAATAGCCGATAACACGTTGAGCAGTGTGTTTATAGACTTAGTGATCCATTTTAGGAGGAGAGGGCTGAATTCAGTAGGATGGCAGGTCAGCACGCCAGACCATCTTGTGTGGCCCTAGAGAAAGACTTCCGGAAATTAATGAACCACAAGATTGGAGACTCCATCTTGGGCAAAGTGAGTTTGAGATTTGGAGTATTTAATTCATTAATTAAGAGATATTTTCAATGAAAGAATTTGCAAAAACTATATTGGTGTACAGTTACTGCAAGAGTTTAAGAAATGAATGCTGTGGGGACCGGCAATAGAAATTATCAGTCTCTATTTGGTCTCATATGCAAGTACAATTTTTCAAATTTTTTATTGAAAAAAAATGGCTTGAAAAGATACTTGTATAAAGTTTGAATTTGCTAGAGTATGAATTTTTGCTGTGTTATCTCAGGTGTTAACATATATTAATTACCGGTACATCTTGTGTATATGACCTTTAAACATGTCAAATTATTACTGTTTCTCAAATTGGCATCTTTATTGGGAATGCAAATACAGTCAGACCTCATTATCTCAAAGTCGATGGGACAGAAAAAAAGATGTCTAAGGGTTTGAGATATCGAGATCAAATTACAAAAAGAAAAAGTGGTGAGGACTTCAACATATCAAAGGTATTCAAGATAAAGATGCTGGAGATACCCAAAGTCTTCAACTGTATAATGAAAATGAACACTGCAAGTTTTTTTAACCCCTATACAACGCATGTATTACAGATCTTTTTCTTCAAAACTTTTTAGCATTATACTAATTTGCAGTCGTCTGATAACAGGTTCACCATGAAATGGCTAAATACCACGAGGTCGGAAAGTTTGTTGTTGGGAAAACAGTAAACGATGAAAATGAAATTGACTGGGAGTCAGCCATCTTTCACGAGGAACATGCCGCAGAGCTTGGAGAGCTGGAGGCCATGGTAACCATGGCCAGACTGTATCTAGGAATCGACAGGGATGTCCTGGTCAACTGTGTGGTGGAGGTGAGTGTGTTTCAGTGTTGATGGCCATGTTAACAGTATTGCATTGTATGACAGTAAACTAAAGCTGTTTTACCAGTGAGAGACGGAGGTTGCATTGGTAATGAAGTTTTGAGATGGATAATGATCAAACATAAGATTGATTACAGTAAAACATTGAGATAATTATTCCCATTAAGATAATTTCTAATTATTAGCTCTACAGGTTGTAGACAAGAAGTGCTTTTGTGTCCATGTAACTGTTTCTCTGCCTATTTGTTTGTCCTACTGTGAACAAATTTTCACATGCTTATTTTGCAGTTTGGTACACAAGTAGACTACATCAAGATACAAAATTCTAGATATATATTTTTGATTTCAATGAATGGCATTGCCATGGTTACTTTGAATAGAATACTGTAGATTCCTTATTTTACGCGAGTACCTAATATCGCGAAATGGCCCTAGGGCGTCAAATCGCGAGAACAATAATTCGCGAATGAGTGATTTATCTAGAGATTTTACATACATTAAAGTACCATATAAATAAATGCGAGTTATTTTATTTCGCGAGTGGTGCTTCTCGCGTAATTACGCGATAATTAATTCCTCACGTATATTTAGGAATCTACAGTACTGCATGAAATTCTAAAAAATCATGACTGTTTCTACAATTTTGGTAAGATTTTTATACAATTTTGTGCACAAGTAGATTACATCAAGTTGCATAATACTTGTATATATGTGTTGTTTTGGATACTTGGGTATTGTTACTAAAAATACATGAATATGTGAATTTCTTTCAAAATGCTAATCCTCCTCCACTTTTGAATTGGTTTAAATGTAACTTTATGCAAGTTTAGAAAACATAAAGATGCATGATTCTGTAAATAAAACTTAAAAAGACATGGCTCAAATCCAGGTGCAACATGTGGACTTATATGAATTTAAACCTGTAGAGCTATAGTCTCATGAGAGACTTCTGATTCATCTTCTTACATTTGTGCATGTGGCTGTAGGATACTTAGAATATGGAGCCATTATTTAAGATTCAGGTATTTGAAAAGCTTAAACATTTTTTTCTTCAGCCAAGTGATGAGCACACTAATCGAGGAGTGGACTTCATGGTAGAGGCTGCTGAAGCAGGGGATAGGGGGGCCATGGTCTACATGGCCAGAGCTTTTGAAACTGGACAGGGACTGGGCACTTGCAGGTAAGGTATTATGTTCTTGAATCAAAGTAGTCTGAGAGTAGAGTGACTCATGTGTTAACACCAAAGTAATTGACATAGTCAGTATAGAGAGTACCATTTGACCTTTCACCCCATACATGCTACAGTGATGTCAGAAAATAAAGACTTTCTATTTAAAAGTCAAATTTTAGCGGCATTGTCATGCCTGCTAAAGAGATTTAAGGTGAAATGATTTGTAAAAGAAGAAACCTATAGATTTAGGTGTTTGTGGTTGAGGTCAAAGACTAGTAGGTTTTAAGAATGTTGTAGAAATGATATTAAGAGTAGGGTAGGACTTCTCAGTCTGAAGTTCAGGATAGAAAGCCAAAGTGAAATTTTGAAGTTGAAGTACAATATAACGGGGTACATGCTATCGTTATCTAAATGTTATCTTTCCAAATGAATGTTTGATATTTAATGCCAGTAGAATATGGTAAAGAAATACCTTGCTTTGTGATACTAGTATTATATAAAAATTTTCTTAATATTTCATTCAATTTTACAATTAAAAGTATGTTTATTTTATAGTGATTTTACTTAATTAATTTTTAGCTCATTTGAAAAGTATGAAATGGTTTGTTAATCGTTGTAAAAATATTGTTTTCAGTCTCAATCTCAATGGAATATACATGTACATACACATGTATTTGCATGAATTGTGGCCATAGCTATCTATTGTCGATAAAAGTATATGTCAAACTTTTTTGCATTTAATTATTCTGCTATTACACATAAATGTAGTTGATGTACACTGTTGCTTATTTATTTTTTTAATATTTGAAAACATCTTATTTTATTTTAATATTTGAAAACAGTTTAAACCTCTATTTGAGAACTGACTGTTGTTAAAAAATTTCTAGGTCTTTCTGAAGATAAATGTCTCCAAAACACATGTAATTCAATAAATGAATATGAATTAATTACTGTATGCAGGGAAATTTTTGCCCCCGTTTTATTTTTGCCCCTTTCGCCCTACTCACACGTGGGTGAATTTAAAATGGGGCAAATTCAAAGAACACAGTATAATTTCTTAAACAAAACTGTGACTGGGAGAATTTTAAATGGGGCAAAATTGTTTGCAAGTATGAAAGGGTAAAAATATGGGGCGAAAATAACATTGTATACAGTACTTGGTACACATAATTGATATTTTCTTATAATAAGATGGCCATGACATTAAGGTAGATGACCATTACGTTAAGAGAAATAACTAATTACCTGTAATGAACTGACCATACATTGAAATAAATGTCCATGACATTAAAATAAATGACTAATTACCTGTAATGAACTGATAGGTCCATTTCCTGGGAGGATGCAGTTTATTGGTATGAGCAGGCAGTGAAGACCCAGGATAACGATGAAGGGGGCCAGTACGACTGTACAATCAATGATCCTGCCTACCAGCTGATGGCTAAACAGGCAGAGCTTTATAGACAGGGAGGGCATGGGTTACAGAAGGACCCCCAGAGAGCAGGTTAGTATGGGGAGGGGGCAAGTATAGGCAAAGAGTAGTGTATTTGTTTCCTACTTATTCTGTGCACCTAAGCCAGCATGATATTATCAGCTTGTAGGGAATTACAATCATTCAGTGAAATCTTTCCTTAGATAAAAAAATAATTTTCTCTTATAAAAGACAACAACTGATCAGAAGATACCTGATTAACATGATTTGCATTAAGTGCATTTTAGCGTGTTTTAACACATAAATCCCTATCCTCTTTCTTTAGGAGAACTCTATAATGAGGCAGCTGAAGCTGCTATGGAAGCCATGAAGGGTCGTCTGGCCACCAAGTATTTCACCCTGGCAGAGGAGGCATATGGTGAAATGGAGGAGGACAAGGAGGAAACAACTGGGTAGGAGAGGGAGGACACAGCTGGAGGAAGGGGCCCCAAGTAGGGGATTTAAGTGCTATGGGAAAAAACACTGTAAATAACAATTTATTTTTGAAGGTTGTACATTGTATTTTGGCAGTGACCTATACCTGGAACATGGTTACTATAGCATAAAAGAGTTTTCAAATTTGTAGATCTTTTTTAATTCAGTCATTATTAGTCATATGCAACTCTTGCTTTGAAACCGAGAAACCTTATACTGTTCTAATGTTCCAAGCATATTTGTGAAAACATTGAAATCACATGTTTTGTTATGATATTTTTTTCTTCTTCTTCTCTATTCTGTGTTCTGATCTCGAACTTGTCTTCAAGTTTTTGTCTTTGAGAGATTTTAGTACATGTATTAAGAAGTATTTTATTTTTTGTGCTCAGTAAACACTGTATGTTAAACTTTGTTTATTTTATTGGAATTCACTATTTTTGTATTTTGTCATTGGTGTCTTTTACAGTTATCAATCTTTTTTCAATATTTACATGTAGTGGGAAATCCAAGTTTATAACCAGTAAATTTATCCACAGCAAGGTTCTAGTTAATGATTTACAAATTAAACAAGATTTGAAAGTTTTTCATATTCCTATTCAGCATGTAAATACCTCTCTTAATTTTTTAATCATTTTTCAAGAAAGTGTTTTATATTAAGGCTCCAATGATTCTATGATGTCAAGTAACCTCATTTATTTTTGTATGTTGTTATTTTTTAATGATTTTACAGCTGTTGTGCATATAACCTTGCTTATCATCTATTACCTGCGTGGCTTTTTTCTTGCCTGATTTTAGTCAAAGAAGCAAATTTGGTTATTAAAAGTGCATGGGTTCATAACTAGTCATTTAAAATTCACTACAATCTAAATGTAGATTTAATTTTGTGTGTTCAGCTAACAAATAAAATCACTGGTAATCATAGTTAAAATAGAAATGTGTTCAATACTTTTCATACTTGAAGGACAATTTCCTACGAGAAATATTTTTTTACATTTTCTACTTTTCTTTAATGTGATTAAATCAAATTAAATAATTAACAAAGGCAAGTATTTGCTTTCATATTTACATTAATTATGCAACACATTGTCCTGCTTTTCCTAAAATTTTGTGATAAATTTTCTGTTGTGAAGATGTGTGTTTAACAGTCTTTCATATCCACCACTTTTCTTTTTCTCAAATTTGCTGTGATTTTTTTTCTTGTCACTTTCAGCCACTAATAATACTCTTACTTTATGCAATACACATATTTTGCTAATTAACAATATTTTATTTTTAAAATGTGTATTTTTGCCACATTTTTAGGGGGGAGGGGTGTATGTGTTAAATAATCAGGCCTCTGCATTTGTAAAAGCAAGGATACACAGATTTGACTTCATCCAGAAAGCAGGATATACACTGTACATGTACATTTAACATGAGAATTTAAAATTGAGTGCAGAAATTTTGGAGGGGGTGAATTTCACAAAAATCTCAGATTTTAAAAAGTCCTGTTTAAAAGATTGATTTTACATCTCAAGCACTCAAAAGTTTTGTGATGTATTAAAGGGGATTAGTTTTTATAAGAAACCCTTTTTAACAAAACCATGTAGTTTACCACTAGATATATGGATCTAGGAACATTGTAGGAACATTTGTGCCATTAGTAAATTGTTTTGTCTGGTCTTTAGTATTACAGTATTCCAGGATTATTTTAGTATTCCAAGACTCAAGTGAACTTTTATTTTCACTCTAAATTTCATATAGTCGTATATTGTGTCATTGGCTTAATTCATTGTTTTAATTTGGCATGTCTTCAGGTTACAGTCACTTTTAAACAGATTAATTTGTTATTGGTGCTTGTTGATCTGTTTGTGTGTTATAGGCTGGAAGACATGACAAACATTCATGCATGCTATTCAACCATAGATAAGCATTGTTAGTACATGTAATTACTGTTAAACATGCATAATGTTTTAAAACAGCTGTTAATTTGACTTTTTATCTCACAATAAATGTTAAACTGTTATTTGAAGCTTTCTTTTTTGATTGAAATGGATGAATCTGTTTCATTTCTTGAACATTATGATTGAAGAAGTACTGTATACAGAGTTATTTTTGCTCCATGTTATTTTTGCCCTCACACACTTTCAAACAATTTTGCCCCATTCTAAATTAACCCAGACACATTTGTGTTGAAAGAGATAATGCTGTTTAATTTTAATTCACCTTGTTTAAATTTGCCCACTTGCAACAAGGGCAAAAGAGGCAAAAATAAAATGGAGGTGAAAATTTCTTTGTATACAGTATATTTTAGTTCTCAAAATTATTACATCCCTAATGTGTTGCCAGTTACGAACCAGTATTAATCATGATCTCTATTATGCAGAGGATGAGACAGTTGAAACTTTTTGGGCCTTTCTGACAAGCAGAAAAACAACCTTGAATGTATTATGTTAGCGTCCATGACAACCCCCCTTTTCATAAACATTGAAGTAAATGAAGGGAGGCCTCTTATCTGTAGAGTCTGGAACTAAACTTCATTGAATGTAATGATACAACCTAAATAAACTATAAGTAGACAATCAACTCTGAATAACCAGTACTTAAGGTATGTCACTCGTCAGCCTTTTAGAAAAGTTCAGTCAGAACCTTTAACTACAAAACTATTCATTACAATTCAATTTCTATAACATATTTGAATTAAACACTGTAAAATGTTCAACATTCAATTAAAAAACTGCTCAAAAATTCATGAAGAAGCAAGATTTATAAGGGACTATTTCTTGTGGTGGAAGGATATTTAGCAGAAAATTCTGCAAATCTACACATTTATTGAATTTAATATCTTGGAACTTTAGCCTCACATACGGTTCATATAACTGACCGATCAGCACTTAAGTCGTAAAAAGTTTGATACGAGAAAATATTCTATTGCTTATTTAGATTTTTGATACCCCAAATATGAGACTTTTTAAGTGCCAAAAGGTCCCACAATAATTTACACGTATTAATTTGCATGATTTGTTCAATGATAAATATTATTCAAACTATTTTACGTAAAATAAGATTGTGTTTATTGCCATGGTTACATCTGATAAAATGTGATAATGGTTAAAGTGATTAACCAAAGAGTTACAATTTAAGTGCAAAAAGGTCAACTTAATTGTACCGTAGCTCAATTATATGCACACTGACCCCCCATTTTCTCTGCGATTTTGAGTCATACTATACGAGTACTTATCCAAAATATACTTCTCAAAAAATCCTTGATATAACAAATTTCACGAGTGACATACCTTAAATTGATAGAAAGCAACTCCATTTTGTATAAATTTTTAACATTCTGTGACGTAAATACATTCCAAGATGTTTTCCAAGCTCACCGTAAAGGCTTAAGAAGATGTGATTGGAGGACGAGAGTAACTGATATGTTTCATGTGTGAGGGCTTAGTCCTTCAGGAGATCTGGATAGGATTGTCAGAGATGAGTGTTCTGACACTGGCCAACAGGCACTTGACATTCTAATCTTTCTTTTAATGCCCTAGAACATGACCCAGTGATGACTGGTTTTTTTTTACCTAATTTGAAAGTTGTAGACTGGTATTGCCTGTCTCTATCGTACGAAAGCTTATATTGCATATATCAGACAGGCCAGGGCAGTCTAGACAAGTTGAAGGTTTTTTTTAAGGGTTTCCTGATCAAGCCAGATGTTTAAACTTTTTGTTTACATCAATACAGCAGATTCATAAATTGGCACAGTTGTTTGAATGACTTTGAGACCATTTTAACAAAGTACAAGCACAGACGACATAAAATGATTATTAGAATTTCCTCTTTAGTTTTATACACACTGGCAAGTGCATGTACAGTGTACAATGTACTTTGATAAAATTCATATTTTCCTCTTCAGTGTATACATGTATATATATATCTGCATTTTCTATATTTCACCCAGAAATACTTAATATTTCCTTATGACTATGACTAATTCAAGATTTGTTGGACATGACCAAGGAAAAAAGTAATTTAATGGAATTAACCATACTGATTTGAGTTCTTTAAAACTTCCTGCAGTCACAAAAGTTAATTGGAGACAGAAGAATATTGACGTGTTCCAACAATATCTGTATATCTACTTTATCCAATTAAAATTTTACTTTGCCCAGCTGATCCCGCCATGTGCAAGGCAGTGCACTTTAAAATTGACTGCCTAAAAGACAAAAATTCATTACTGTATAAAAATCTGATTTTGTACTTGAGACAAATCCAATTAAAGGAATAAATCTTTTATTAAAAAGTGGATATAAAATGAGTACACAGAATGTGATTAAACAAAAATGAACAATAGATAACTTTGCATGTGTTGGTCTGGTTTTTCTGTTATTGCTTATGTAAATAAAACATCCTCAGCAAAGCAAAGTCACAGGTAATTCAGCTTATAATGAAGGTCCACATTAGAAGTAAAAAGTTTCTGAAAGACTGTGGTATTCACTCTCTAAGAAATTTTCAGGCCAGAAATGGAACTTTCAAGGGACTGAAAAATAAAGAAAAATCATTATATCTTTTCCAAAGGATCATATTCATATTATTTCAAAACATATCAATGGAATTTTCAAGACACTGAAAATGGTTAAAAAATCAAAATTTTCTTTCCAAAGGATCATATTCATATTTTATTTTGTTAGCGTAAATTTGATTCTAGCCACAGGAGTCCGTATACTAATAAATTTTTAACAATTTTTCCCATACATGTACATGTAATTAACTGGTACATAATTTTTTGTGTTATGACACATCAAAATCAGTAATCTTGTTACATTAAATGTGAAACAAAATAGACATCTGAATCCATACCTTTACATCCCAGATGATCATCTGACCATCTTTACCAGTAGTAGAGAACTTGCTGCAGTTGTCTTTAGTTCCTGAGTAGATAGACACTTGCCTGCAAAATAAAAAAAAAAAATTCTGTAAAAAAAAATTATAAAAAGGCTATATTGTAGAAGTGCTTTTTTTTCTGCACGGTATTAATTTATACTACGTACGTGGTCCCAGATTTTCCATGGAAATTTCTCCCAGCATACATTTAAAGCATATAGTGGCAATCTAAGAAATCCACATAATTTTCTACTAGCTGTTTGAACGGAAATTGTGATTCCACAGAATTATGACCCCATGAAAAAATATGTTTACAGTATATATGTACATGTACATAAAATAGTATAATACTGCTTCTGAATCAATTTTCATGCTGACAAATGTAGACAGCAGTATGAAGTGCTGACAAACTCTAACAATATTTTTATTCACATATTTGATGTAATCAGTGGCACTAATCTTTTGCATATAAACAGTACAGTGCCTAACTTTTGTGACTGTATTTTGGTGTTAACTTACATGACAGTTTTGACTGTATTTTGGTGTTAACTTACGTGACTGTATTTTGGTGTTAACTTACGTGACTGTATTTTGGTATTAACTTATGTGACTGTATTTTGGTATTAATTTATGTTATTGTATTTTGGTGTTAACTTACGTGACTGTATTTCGGTGTTAACTTACGTCATTGTATTTTGGTGTTAACTTACATGACTGTATTTGGTGTTAACTTATGCAATTGTATTTTGGTGTTAACTTACATGACTGTATTTTGGTCTTAACTTACGTGACTGTATTTTGGTGTTAACTTACATGACTGTATTTTGGTCTTACATGACTGTATTTTGGTCTTAACTTACATGACTGTATTTTGGTCTTAACTTGCATGACTGTATTTTGGTGTTAACTAACGTGACTGTATTTTGGTGTTAACTTACGTGATTGTATTTTGGTGCTTCGTCTTCAGGTCAGTGGTAGCCTCTGCTGTTGCTTTCTTATCCAGGTTTCGGAAACGGTTCATGGCACTGTGAAAAAAAATAAATAAAGCAAAAATTGATTCTTAGTCTTAAAATGTCAAAGAAAAGCCTATTTTGGATAATCTAATTTCCCTTAAAACAGAAAATCTCATCAATTATATTTCAAAAAAGTATTCTAAGTACCAGTAATACATCATCAAATTCCTTCAGTTATCTTCTGTAGGAGAAAAAAATGTTTGCTCCTAGAAATCAATATAAGATGAAAAATTATTATGTCCTGGATGGATGAGAATAGCTTACCTCACTGTTCCAGTTTCTTTCTCCTTTGGAACATCAAGGTCGCTGACAAAGGTCACTTTTCCATCATCACTGTATCTGTACAGCTTAGGGAGACAGTCATGGCCCTTTGAAGGGAAAAATGTCAATAGTAATTTAAATAAAAATCTATTCATTGTTCAATTATTTCTAGCAATCATTATAAATGATGTACTTCTTAAAGCTGCTATTTTGAAAATAATTTAAAACATGAAAATTCTTATAAGTTCATTTATTACATCAGGTACATCACACGTAAATGTATGACCTTGCTTTAAAAAATTCTGTATCTCTCTGTCAAAATACAAGGATGTGTAGATAATTCAAAATGAGAGAAAACCCATGAGACAGAGTATTCCTTGTTCACAACATGCAAAGCACAATGTAGATAATATGTTGACTGTTAATATGAACTTACGGCAGCCACAATGCTGTGAGGGCCCACCCAAGTCAGACTCATCAGAGGCAGAAAGGATCCCTTCAGAACAGCTAACCTGAAAATTCATTCAAAAGAAAAAAAATATCAGACTGATTATGATTTTATGATGGCTATTGCTGCATAACAGAAAACTTCGAAAAGATGCTTTTTCAAAAACAACTTGCATACAATGACTGTAGATGAGATTACAGTGTATCCAGTGACTGTAAATGAGATTACAGTGTATGCAATGGCTGTAAATGAGATTACAGTGTACACAATGGCTGTAAATGAGATTACAGTGTACGCAATGGCTGTAAATGAGATTACAGTGTACACAATGGCTGTAAATGAGATTACAGTGTATGCAATGACTGTAAATGAGATTACAGTGTATGCAATGGCTGTAAATGAGATCATGGTGTATCCAATGGCTGTAAATGTGATTACAGTGTTTGTTACTCACTGTTGTTGATTAGCTCCATTAACTACACTGATACTGGAATCATGGCCTACAAAAGCCAAAAGGTCTCCACTTGCAGAGAAAGATACGTCATGGATCCATCCACCTGTCAATTTTCAAAAGACAGCTACATGTACATAACCAGTCATCTGATTATCTCAATAATTGTCTGTAAAGGTTTCAAAGAGCAAGCTGGTTCTTAGTACAGACACAGAACCTCCATTATTCAATACTGTCAAACCCTATTATCTCAAGCCCAAAGGGGCTGAGAAAAAACTTTACGATATTTGATATACGGATTTGATATACAGGTTAAAATACATAAAGAAAAAGTGGTTAGAATTTTAACTCACTTCAACATATCCATGGTGTTCGAGATATCGAAGTTTAACTTTATTTTTCAAACTTTCAAAATTTTAATAAACTTCTGAATTCTCTTTTGCTTTTTTTTCAAATAATTTTATGTCAGGGACCCAGCTTGATTGTGGCCATTCATGGGATGTTAAAGAGTACTATGTATCACATTATCAAGCAAGTTGAGTGCCTATGAATTATAATGCCCCTCAGGGAATTAGGAATACTTGAATTTTAAAACACAGTTATAAAAAGCACTTTTATGTGGATGATGTATAGATAAGATGTTGTCATTGAGTAATGTACTTGACAAAGACATGTCTAACATATATGTATCTTCAATTTTTTACATACCACCACCATTGGAGACTTCAAACATGCAGTTGGCAAAAGGCATTTTGGCTCCCCAGCAGGTAGAAGTGGGTTTGCTTTCGATTTCTTTGATGTAAGCAGAGAAAATCCTATAAATAGAATCAATTAATAGGATTTAAATTCAAATATTACACTTTTCATTTAATGACATAACTTCTCTCTCATTTGAAATTCTTAAATATTGGATGTACTAGATAATTAAAGAGAATTGAAATCAAAGCTTCTTCAACATGATCTGTACTAAATGGTTTTACCTTGCTTTAAAATCACAGCTTCCAGCAGAAAGCAAAACATTGTTGGGATGCCAATCCAAACTGCGATGAAAATAGTAATATTTATTATTATTATACTTTCATGTTAAATACTAAAATCTGATTGGTTTAGACGCATTTAACAATCCGTAATGTTACCCTCAGCGTTAGCAACACACTTGACAACGGGTAACATTACGAAAATATCACATGCGTTCAAATCATGCGCGTACGGTTCACCGTAGAATTCTCAAAACGTCGGTTGTGCGTTTGAAAGAAGCCGAATAAACGACGTCAATATAAGCTTGCGTCCGATGTAGCTTACTTGAAAACAACAAACGACAGACGAAACATCCTTGCGAGTGCAAACTTTAGATGATAAAGGACTTTTTGAGTAGCAAACAAACAATAAAGAGGTTGGTAAATCTTTTCCGAAGCTTTCTTATTGAGAAAAATAGAAGCGGGGAGTTTGAAAGCTTTCTAAGCGTGACCTTAACGACGATCTCCGAATTTTTTTATGACATCCGAAATCAAAAAGACATTCAGTATAATAAAATAAATAGTGCACGTTTTTGAGGGTAACAGTTGAAATTGACACCCCTCGGAAAACCATTGTCAACCTCCGCTGACGCGTCGGTTGACAATGGTTTTCCTTGGGGTGTCAATTTCAACTGTTACCCTCAAAAACGTGCACTATTTATATAATAGTTCTGTGTATTACAACTACTCATTTTTATGTAACTTTTTTGTATTTCAATAAATTACATTTGTCTTGCCTTAAATACAAGAAATGAAATTTCATTGTGAAAATATTCATAGCATCTTATAGCAGTCCGTACCAGCTAACAGTTGATCTGATAGGCTTTTTGATGTGTTTGCTGACCCACCAATGATTTTCTTCCTCAAAATAGCAAATGGAAATCAGCCTAGAGCCACTGCCCACAGCAAATTTATCACCTGTAAACATACACACACAAAAAAAGAAAATGTATGAAAATGTTTACCTTTATGATAGCTTTACATAATGATATTAGGCTCAAATAAAACACACAAAATGCTCCATGACGTCACTTGACATTTTACATGCACAATGAAATTGTTCACGAGCTCAGTACTATTACATGTACTGCCCAAATGCCACCTGCATGAAGAGGATTAAGGAGGCTGGGGGGTCAACAAATTAACCACAAATTAACCACCAGATTTAACTTAGTTTTTTAGATATGATATCTTAAGCTGTCAACTATCATTTGGCAAAGAAAAATTTCAAAAATTTTAGGTTTAAAATTTGATCATTTTCTATATCTTCATATGGAGCTCTTCTTCTAAAGGAGATCAATATAGTCTAAAAATGGCCACAACCCCCCAGCCTCTTTAAGTAAGTAAGTACTGCCCAAAATGTCAACAAGTTAAAATTTAGAATATATGTAGGACTCCAAAGTGCGATGGGACTCCAAAGTCCAATGGTCATGCCAAAGTCCGATGGTCTGCGCCAAACCCCGATAGTCTGACATGCCAAAGTCCAATGGTGCAGAAAAACAATTGACGTTTGTGACGTCATAGTACTACTGCGCCAAACTGCAATGCCGCGCCATGCCAAGGTCTTAAATAAGTTTAAATAAATATCATTATGCGAAAACTAACTCTAATCTCTCGGATAGGTGCGAAAAGCTCAAAAAGTGTGTAACAACTATAACCTAGATATCTTGGGTGGGTGCGAGACTAACCCTAATCACTCGACTAGTGTGCGAGAACAAACCCTAAATCTCTCGGGTTGTTGCGAAGCAAGGACTAACCCTAATCAGTCGAGTGGTGTGCGAGGACTAACCCTAATATCTCTGGTGGGTGCAAGCAATAAGCAAAATCAGTAAAATTGTATGCGAGGACGAATACTGAACTGATGGCTTTTGAATGCAGGACAACGGCATCAAGGATTGACTTCGGAATATTGTGACATCATAAACGTTGATTGTTTCTCGGCACCATCGGACTTTGGCATGTCAGACCATCACACATTAGCGCAGCGTGTCTCATAGGAAACGAGCCATCGAACTTTGGCGTGACCATCGGACTTTGGCGTCCGTACCGACATCAAATCATCGGGGTTTGGCGCAGACCATCGGGGTTTGGCGAGACCATCGGACTTTGGCGTCACCATCGGATTTTGGAGTCTTACATATAAAACAGGTAACACAGTATCTAATAGATAAAAATGCCTAACAGATGGTCAGGACTAGACTTATGTATGGCCTCTAGCTTAATTACCATTTGGAGACCACTTGACACAGGTGGCTGCACGGTTGATTCTCAAGATGACCAAGCAAGGCTTCCATTTACCATCTTTGAACTCCCATACATATGCATTTCTATCCTGCAGTATACAAAAAGTTTTTTTTTTTAAATGTATAACCACTTCTGTATGATGTAGCCTCTCTGGCAAATGATGGAACGTTGATATATATCACTGGTATGCATGTTTATAAATAATACATATATTTGTCTGTCTACTTTTGAATTAGAGTAACACTTACTGATATTCAGAAAAATAAAGAACTTATTTAAAGAAAATTTTTAAAAACTAATAAAGAACCAATTTGAAAGATGATCAATTTTTAAAAATTAATTTTTGCAGGTTTGAAGTGAGATAAATTATACATACAGCCCCACTGGTCACTATCCTGTTGTGCTGGGGTTCCCAGTCTATCCCTGTAACCCTCTGACCGTGCTCAGAGAGGGTAGAGGTCAGGTCATAACCAGTTGGAGCTTTCTTGTATATCTCAATGTTGTGGTCATTATTAGATATTGCTATCTCTGAAAATGTAGGTTAACTGTTAGATATATTAAATACTTTGCATAATTTGCAATTATTATTTTTTATATGACCCAATGTATGAAAAAACAATTATTGTAAACCTTGTGTGTCCAAAAAAATAAACACACAGACTGCAGTTTGCATGAGTAAGCACGATGTATGTGGTTATACTGTAATCAATAAGGAAGTGAAAAACATGGAAAAGGGGGGGGGGGTTCAATTTGAAACCTTACACACATTATGACATACTTTCTGAAAAATCAGATAGCACTCAAAATGAGAGGGGAAAACCCTTTCAAATAGGATTGCAAATTCTTGGACATTTTGATCAATCTACTGATGTTACAAATTACCTGCCACTTGTATTCATTATTTCTCTTGCCTGTTCTACTATTCTGTTTAAATTAATTTTTTTTCTATGATTTACCTGAACCTTTGCCATTCCAAGCATGACAAGTTATGGGAGCCACTCCAAAGCTGTGAGCTGACATTGTTTGCACCTGCAAAAATATTCCACAATGTAGAAGATGCTCCAGATATTAATTGATAACCTATTAACTAACTAAACAACGTTTCTGATTTATAATTTAGTGTATTTGAGAAAAGAAATCAGAGAACATAGATTCAAAGAACATTGTTTTACACACTTCAACAGTTCAAGGAAATGATTCAGTAGCTCAGTAGGCCCACACAAGGAGAAAATTCGAACTAATCACATATTATCTGTAAATCGTTCAAGTGTATGAAGACAAAATAAATATAACGTACCTTTTATTTAATAAATTTCTCCAAAAAATTCGTGGACTCTGGTCAGTCGACACGAATTTCCCCAGCCTTCTTCAACGTTTCCGTGTATCGTAACAGGAAGTAAAGTGCACGCCCTCCTGACTCAAATGAAATGTGGATAAAAGGAACTTAAAATGCTTCAAACTATAAGCATAAAAAATAATTAAAAATAATAAAACATATAATTTTTTTTACAAAATGCCTTCTGCCAGAGGATTTTTTTTAGAAAATATATACGAAACTAAACGACCCAAAGTGAAAGTTGAAAGGTCAATGCTCAACTTCCGTCTTCCTTGTTGGTATGTACACAAACTGACAAACGTGCTCCGTTTAGACTTGATTCGACTTTATTTTCACAGAACAGCATAGTATGCGTACCGCTTATATCAGCCTGATTTTATTTTTTTATCTGGTGGTCAGTAACAAGGGGGACAATGACGATTCAGGTGTTATTTTACCAAGCATGTGTGAGGGTAGGTCCTTTCTTGAAGTCTACTTTCTATTTGTCTTGCATATTCACAAATAAATCTACCCGTACCGGTATTTTTTGTTTATTATGCAAATATAAATAGCTGATATGCGTATTTTTTATGAATTGATAGTTCATTTAGGTATAAAATAATTATGATTTATTACATTAATGTTTGAGGAATTCTTAGGGATGTTAGAATCTATTTTTGACATATATGTAAATTCTTACATGATCCTTTTTTAATTTTTTTTTTGTAAAATATACGTCAGTATTGAAGCACTGTGATTTACAATTTTTATAATGTGATAGGTAATTTCGGAACTGTAGGAATAAATTATGCAAAATTATGGGAAGTATACTTGGCTCATATTGATTGGCTGTTTCCTGCAAACACTTCCTTTTATAACCTATAGGTCCTGGAGATTGAGTACCTAATTATCTTTATCAGTGAGTCATAATATGGCTATTGTATGAAACCAGCAACCCCATTGCTTTATCTCTTTCTTTCTACTTGTATGCCTGTCAATTTAAATCAAAGCTTAACTAATAAATTTTTAAAACCTTATCTACAGGTAGTACAGTGAAATGCTATTAAGAAAAGCTATATATTAATGTTTTGAAATCATGACATTTATTCAAAGTCAGAGTAAAACAAATATTCTTATGGATACATGTACACGTAAAATAATAATGAAGCTTAAATTGCTGACAAATGAAATTATACTTAAATATAAGACATTTATTAATCTTTAATGAATATTATTTATTATTTCAGTGTGTAAGTTCTTTGTCACTGAGCTTCAAAGCAGACTAGATGAAACTGGAAAATCCAAAGAGACATTACATGTGGGCCATGGTTTAGACAAGAAAAAGAAGATTGTGTACAACAAATCGTGAGTAATATTGCAGAAAAATGAATAGAAATACATTGTACTAAATTGTTGCTTTTATTTTAAACTTTGATCACTATGTTATGATTTCTTACCAATGTAAAAAAAACACATGTTCTTCATAATGATCTTTTTTAAATAAAAAATTGAGCATCAATCACTGATATTTCATGATTACTGTACAAAGTCCTTGTATAAACTAATTAATAATATTTTCCAGCGAACTGAGGCTAACAGAAGCACTGACTGACCCACATATATGTGACAAAATCCTGGAATATAATGTCCACAAGGAGAGATCGGGAAGCAATAGATTTGCCAAAGGCCGCAGTGAAACCATGGACACATTACATGGATTGGTGTAAGTCAATGATGTCTTCCATGTTTTAGAATTAATACCATCCAAATTAATAGTGCAGTTCTTGAACCGAAGTTAATAAGTACATTGTAATGGTTGGATTTTAATTAATTAGAATGGTAGAAGAAGGATGAAATATGAATGTCTTATAAAACATAGGGGTGGATCTAGGATTAAGGGATAAATGTCTGAAGAGCATCTTCAGAATCTGTAGGGGCGTGTAAGAAAATAATATTATTGAACGGAGGTAACTTCTACAAATACATATTTTGAAAAGAAAATTATATGAAAGCTTGCAAACTGAACAAAATATAATCTTATGGATGTACATGAAATGCACAGAAAGTGAAAGCCATTTTTTATTATTATTATTATTATAGAAATAAGGGGGTGAAGGTAGAGTTAGGAATTCCCTATGAATTGTGGGATTCTCCATCTGCTGAAGTCACAGACATGCAGCGCAAGGTAAAAATTCTTAACAATCTCAATTATAACATGTAAAATGGACATCTGTTTCATAACATCATAACTATATTTAACAGACAGTTTACCACTAAAAATGTGTGTGTAAATTTTAATTCTACTAAGTTTTTCATATCTTCTCTTTATGCAGTGTTTTAAGATGGCTGAGGAATATGAAGATGAGATTGAAAACTGGTATTACAAACACCAAGACAAGGATTTAATGAATTATCTGTGTGCCAACATTATCCTTAGGAAAGACGATAACAGTAAGATTTTCAGTTAATGAATTATCTTTGTGCCATCATTAACCTCAGGAAAGATGATAACAATTTACAGAATTTGCTAAATAAAATTTCTATAAGTTAATTTACTCTGCAGCTGTTCAATTTTGTATATGTAGTAAATCCAATTAAGCATAATTCCTTCTAAATTTTCATAGCATCCCATGTTGGGATTCATAGTTATTGTAACAAAATATGAGTGCTGTTGTATTTCCTACATTCTTTTGAAGAGTGCTTAACAGAGAAGTATGTACCTAAAGGAGAGACAGAAGAGGGAGATAAAAAAGAAAAATCATCAAAAAAGGAGAAAAGTAAGTCACAACCCCAACCCCCATTTTTGATATCTGATTGTTTTCAAACTTGTCTTTAATGATTATAGCCATAATGATGTTGTTTTATTTATGAATGTGAGTGTGAGTTCATATCCTTTATCGTATCAATCATATAGACTGATCGATATTGGATTACTGATGCACAATCTCTAGATTTGTTTCTTATTAACAGAAAAATCAAAGCCAAAGGGAGATGAAGGAGAAAAGGAGGCTAAAGATGAATTATGATACCTCCATGAAGTAGAAAAATGGCATCATCTGACACCAATGTGTTCCCAAATGATTCCTTCCTATTTACTAGTGCTTGTCTTCATTCCTTCCAAGTTGTAACAATTTACTACATGCAATAAACTATTAAAATGAATTTTTAAAATTCAGATAAGCTGATATGGATAGTAATATTGTTTCAATTTTTCAGTGCTTATACTGTATGTGAGTAAGTTATTTTGTAACTGTAAGGTCGTTTTGTGTTCTTTTGTAAGTATGTAACATGGATCCTTATATTCAGTGATGCATTCTGTTTATTTTTTTTTTGGGGGGGGGGGGGGTCTCCCTCATGTAGACAATTATTGTTGGTGAGGAGATAATGTTTTTTATTCAGATTATTTGTTCTTATACAGTAAAACATGCTTATAACAATGTGCCAGGGCAAGCAATTTTGCCTCATTATAAATGTAATTTGTTTTATCTGTTAAGTTTACAATATGTTTTAAAATTACATGAATTCATTATAAGCATGTTCACTATAAGTGTGTTTTACTGTAATAGGATTGCATAAATAATATGGTTTGTGGAGTTTATAGAAGATGGGGCAGACCCATGTCTTGTTAATTGTGTTGAGATTATGCAGAGCTCTCCTTAGTAGGAATATAACTTGAACCTGATGTCAAAATATCATGTAAGTATGATCTGTTCAAGATGTATCTTTGATCATCTAAAGTGCATTTTTGTCATAACATACTCTGTGACAGTTGTGATGTTTTAATTTCAAGTTGTGTAGACTTAAAAAAAAACATTATGAGATCAATGACAAAAATTAGTGTAGTTTGCACAAAAGAAAGAGAAAAAGCCAAAGGACACAAATCATCATTTATGCCTTGTGTATTGAAATGGTATGAACAGGTGCTCATGAAAAGTTTTACAAATCAATCTATTTTGATATTTTATGTAACCTTGTTCATTAATTAAAATAAATCTTCTGTTGATTGATTATTTTTATGGTGTGCTGACAATGAAAGATCGGGCTGCAATAACCTTGTCTCTTCTGGTGCAAAAGTTTAGGCAAAAGTTAAATTTTTTGAAAAGTAGGTCAAACTTTAAGGTCAAGGTCATTAGGTCAAAAATCATAGTACATCTGGGAAGATCTTGTCACAGGTTATGTGCATGTATAAAAATACAAAGCCCTATCTCCAGGTAAAAAAGCTGTGGCCACGTTTAAAGTTTTTGAAAAATAGGTCAAACTTAAGTTATGAAGTCAAAAGCCATGGTGCACTTAGAAAGGTCTTGACACAGGTAATGCACTTTAAATATGAAAGCCTTATTTTCACATTTAAATTAACACCTAAGGAGGGTTGTTGATATTTAAAAAATGCTCGAGTTCCTTATTGGCAATATCTATGTAGTTTTTGGAGACCAAGTCTTCCAACAATCTGTTGGAATTCCCATGGTTATTAACTGTGCCCCTTTATTAGAAAACTTGGTTTCATATTTATTCAAAACTTCTACACGAAAAGGTTACCGGTCATAGTAGCCTAGTACATGTAGTTGGGCATTCGCTTTGTGAGGCCCAAGTTAGATTCTCATTCGCTGCATTGCATCAAGGCCATAAGTGCCGAGTAAAGGTCTAAATGTTAAGCCCTTTGCCAGATATGGTGACATCTCTATATGAGAAAAAAATTCTGGAATGGGACTTAAAACAACATACAATCAATCAATCTTTCTCTAGTTGATGACCTCATTTTCTATCATCAACTTCCCTTGTTTGAGTAGCAATACATGAATTTCATTATCACCTGCATATTGGGTTTATGTTTTTCACTTTTTATGCCCCCATAATAAAAAATTTGGGGGTAAATGTATATAGTCTTTGCCATGTCCGTCTGTCTGTGTATCTGTTTGTCTGCAAAAACTAACATTGCCCATAACTTTTGATTGGTTGGAGCTATGGGTTTCATATTTCACATATGTATTCCTTGTGACAAGGCCTTTCTTTGAGTACCAACAAATTTGAACTCTTGACTTTGACCTTGGAGTTTGACCCAATTTTGCAAGAATTTACACAACTTTAACCTTGGCCATAACTTTTGAACAACCTTGGCCATAACTTCTGAACAGTTGGTGCTAGGGCTTTTATACTTCACATGTGTAATAATTGTAATAAGACCTTTCTATGAATATTAATTTTTTTATCTCTTCATCTTGACCTTTGAGTTTGACCCACTTTTTAAAAACTTTAACCTTGGACGTAACTTTTGAACAATTAGAACTAGGGCCTTCATATTTCATAGGTGTATTCCATGTGACAAGGCCTTCCTTTGAATACCAACAATTTTGATCTTGTGATCTTGACCTTGGAGTTTGACCTACTTTTGACTGAGAGAGGCTAATTACAAATGTTGAAGATACAAGGGTATCAACAAAAATGGAATCTTTTGAGGCTACATTTAAATACATACTTCTAATATATATAGATAAATAATAAAATATATTTTACACAAATTGTTGTACTTTCATACTGAACTGTCTACGGATTTCTCTGTTTACCCAAACATTTCATACTAGGGGCTCCTGGTGGGTGTAACCGGTCAACAGGGGATCCATTCTTTTCCATGGCACCTGATCCCACATCTGTTTTGTTCAGAAATCTGTGATTGCTCTGCTCTTAATCTGTATTGCATGCTTAAAGCTATATACGATGTATCTGACCTAGAAAAATAATAATACGAGATTGAGTGTAAATATACATGATATCAGGGACCTATATATATACTATTAATATATAGGTCCCTGATGATATATGTTATTTACGTTCAAATTAAAATTTGCACGGATTTTGAACTTGAATAACCTCATGTTTCCTCAGTTAACTATTGCCGTTAAATTTGTCTGTCATTTAAATGTGGAGTCGGTAAATAAATCGGTTATTGTTTTTTATATCTTTGAATTTAAATTGTGTAATTTGCAGGAAAGTCCTATCTTTATATAAAGTAATAAAACAAATAGAAAGATCCTTTTAATTTTGGTTACCTGAACTTATAAAAAAAAAATACGCCATGTATGACTTTAATTGGACCTTTAACACCCCTATCAATGTTATTGTGATTTAAATTCAAGACACGTGGTGTAGGTTGACCCATTCTAAGGTTATAGGGAAGACCCGGTTTTATAAATAAAATTGGCAGTAAATAGGAAATTGCTATAATCTGTTTCTTTTAAAAACATGTCCTATAAAAATGTGCTTCCAGAATTTTCTGAAAGATTTTTAAGATTTCAAACAGAAATGAGTGGGATTTAAAATATCACAATCTACTTAATTAATCTTCGCTTTGTTATAATTTATGGCGAAAATTGGAGCTTTAGGGTGATGTCACGTGTAAAGGACTTAGTGTGAGCTTATCTCACTAAACAAGTACTGCTAAGCAGTATTGAAAAGCGTCTTTGATTGTTCTACAAAGTCATCGGCGCTTTGTTTGAGTCTCAAAATATTCACTCATCAGTCAAACAGGAAAGTTTATATTTTTTCACTGTTTTGCCTAATAATAAAAATTGACCAAGTATGTTTTAATTAGACAGTACATCAGACATTACAATGCAATGTATTGTAGGACAATTATATATTTATTTAAAAGAAAAAATAAATTAGCTTGCAATTAAAGAACTTAACTCGACACTCCAATTTTCCTCGGGATGTTTCGCATATATCCATATCAGTCTTGTTAACTTTCAATAAAAAAAAAATCAGCAAAAGTAACTGTTCTTTGACGAGAAGTTAGCTCTAAGTACTGTTATCCGCTTATCTGCATCACTCTCAAAATTTACACTCATCAGTCAAACACGAATTTTCTCTCTTTTTTCAATCTTTCATATACCCAAACTAGGCGTTGCATATAATAATAATCAGCAATGAAAAAAATTGTCGAAAAATCCTTCGACATTATTACTGCATTGTTAATTTACATTCATGTGAAAGAGAACAATCATATAAGAAAATGTGAATGAAAATATTCCATCCAGTCTGTTTTTCAAAACTTTTTGAAAAATAAAAATCTATTAGAAAAATATGTTAATTTACACCTTATTTTCAATACCATAATGTAAAACAAAATGTGCATTGTAATAAAAGGCAATTAAATTCTTACTATGGTAAACAGTATAAATTCTCTTGCAAACAAAAAAATCCACTCATCAGTCAAAAAGAAGTGTTCATTTCTTTTGGATCTTTTGTGCATACCCAAACTAGTCATTCGATTAAAAAAAAAAAAAAAAAAAAAAAAAAAAAAAAAAACAGCAACACATAACTTTGCGAAAGTCCTTCGACTTAATAACTGATTGTTAATTTTGATTCATATCGAAGAAAACAAATATTTAAGAATGAGAATAAAAGAAATGCTCTCTAGTCTGCTTTTGAAACCTTTTTTTCCAAAGCATAAAATGAAAAAAAGTGTGTGTATTCAATCAGTTTTTAAATTCAATTAAGAAAAAAAATTGACTAAGTTAATTTTGATTGGACAATTTGGCAGGCATCACAATGTATCGCATTGTATTGCAGCAGAGTGCAGTATGGTGTAATTCTACTTGTATTTAAACAAGCACAATTATTTTACTTGTCAATGTAGTAGAAATATTCCCCACCATCCATCCTCCAAAGAGAGCCTTTATATACAATTTGTCCTTGTGATTGAATGTTTATTTGGAAATTTGCATAATGTAAGTTTTGTTTCAAAGTTCGATAACTCAAATTATGTCCCTTTGAACAACGTAGATAAAACGATCATTGATTTCTGCTTTGTATTATGTAAATGTTTAAGCAATGCTAACGAGTAACAGGCGTGTACACTATATATAAGACGTTTCTAGAGAGACATTCAAAAATGACCATGTGTTAGAGTAAATAACGGTAATATCGTGTGTGAAGGATTTAGTGAGAGTATCTCACTAAACAAGTACTGCTCAGCAGTATAGAAAAGCCTCTTTGATTGTTCTACAAAGCCATGGGCGCTTTGTTTGAGTCTCAACATATTCACTCATCAGTCAAACAGGAAAGTTTATATTTTTTCACTGTTTTGCCTAATAATAAAAATTGACCAAGTATGTTTAAATTAGACAGTACATAAGGCATTACAATGCAATGTATTGTAGGACAATTATATATCTATTTAAAAGAAAAAATAAATTAGCTTGCAAACAAAGAACTTCACTCGACACTTCAATTTTCCTCGGGATGTTTCGCATATATCCATATCAGTCTTGTTAACTTTCAATAAAACAAAAAAATCAGCAAAAGTAACTGTTCTTTGACGAGAAGTTAGCTCTAAGTACTGTTATCTGCATCACTCACAGGCGCTTGACGTTTTTAACCTTTCTTTCAATAAATAAAAAATCCCCCATACTATAATAATAACACAGGCGCTTGACGTTTTTAACCTTTCTTTCAATAAATAAAAAATCCCCCATACTATAATAATAACCTTGTTATTATTATAGCATGGGGGATTTTTTATTTATTGAAAGAAAGGTTAAAAACGTCAAGCGCCTGTGTTATTATTATAGTATGGGGGATTTTTTATTTATTGAAAGAAAGGTTAAAAACGTCAAGCGCCTGTGGCATCACTCTCAAAATTTACACTCATCAGTCAAACACGAATTTTCTCTCTTTTTTCAATCTTTCATATACCCAAACTAGGCGTTGCATATAATAATAAACAGCAATGAAAAAAATTGTCGAAAAATCCTTCGACATTATTACTGCATTGTTAATTTACATTCATGTGAAAGAGAACAATCATATAAGAAAATGTGAATGAAAACATTCCATCCAGTCTGTTTTTCAAAACTTTTTGAAAAATAAAAATCTATTAGAAAAATATGTTAATTTACACCTTATTTTCAATACGATAATGTAAATAAAAGTAATGACTAAGTTAATTTTCATTGGACAATTTTTTTCATATTACAATACCCGTGATCATCTGTTTTGGTCAGGGAACCCA